GACCAACTTTGGTGCAAATTATTGCCCACTCAGCTACCTCCTCACCCCAACCGTCCAGCCCCTTGATCTCTTATTTTAGCTTTAATGGTATCAATATGCATCAGCAGCAGGGTAAAGCTCATTTCCATGTAAAAAAATGAACAACAAGTTATAAATTTCATGCGTCCGAAACGACTCGCACAGAGCAGGATTTTAAACATGCTAAGATGCTAGTTCACAACTAGGGTAATAGTCTGCAGGAAGACAATTCACCTTTCCTGGACACACTTTTCCTACTCCTAAGTGACCAGTCTTTCCTAATACTCCTAGTGATATGCTGTGCGCTAAGTGGAGAAGCATCGAATGCTAATTTTAAGTCTTTGGCATATTCAGGGTTGGAACCCACAACCTCCTGCACTCAATGCGAGAATGCTACCATGGGATCACTGAGGTATTAACTGTGCTTTAGAAAGCCACATTATTCAATAGGTTATACGACTTGATGCTACTTTTATGATTGATTCATCTAGTGGTTGGGTAAAATAATATATAAACTGATGTTTACCGGGGAATTATATCAATTAATAGGGTAAATTGACAACCCCTATATGAAGTAAAAAATGCATGGTTCTGACATGTAATTGGGTTCTCCACTCTGTAAACTGGGTTTTGATGGTTTAAAATTGACTAATGAATTGGATTTATTTGTTATTTTTATTGTGTAATAACGCAAGCAAGCAGCTTATCTGTACCTCCACAGGTACAAGACGAGATTTTTAATATACTATATACATATATTTAAAAAATATTGTCTAGTACCTGTGTGCACCTCTTGGTTCAACCTCTTTATGTCTTTATTTCAATGCATAATTTCCTATTTAATTATGTTGTAAAGTTCTACTTATAATAATTTAATAATTAATCACTTATACAGGGTAACATTCAACCAAGGATTTGATACCTTAACAATCATTAACTTAAATGTGTATGTTTTGTGAAATAGGATTTCACCAGCTGTTCACAGTGGCCCAGTCTAGTATTTCATATCCAGCGCCTCGATTTGCTGGTATCCAGTGGTCTTATCGAACCAGTTTTGTGATTACTACCAATCAGATTGTTATAAAGTCAACACTGCGGATCTCTTTTGTTTACCTGAGTGACACAGATGAACGGGCACCTGTCAAAACAATTACTACCTAATTACCGGCGTGACTTTTTACCCCAATATACCCCAATATACCCCAACATACCCCAATATACCTCAAAAAGCAGTTTCAACCAAATATTATTGAATAATAATAACATTTTAGGCATTTCCATATTATTTTAACACCAACAATACTTTATTTTATAACTATATTTAATTTTAAATCACTTTTTTCATTGAAACTTGTTCTGTTCATGTCAGCCGCTTACGATCACAAAATGACTTTTTACCCCAATATACCCAAATATACTCGAATAAACAGTTTCAACACAATTTCCACGATAAGGAATGATATAACAAGCAGATATATTAAAATTGAACACAACTGTTTACATTTTTTGTGCATTTAGAGGCTTTTAAAACACGGGTTCTTTATTCATGTATTGACGAAGGTTACACTAAAAACCCGAACGAACGAACCTAAAAATATACCGGTAAATTTTTGCAATTTCTTTTTTCTCCCTTAAAATTTTGAGATTGTAAATGCATTTTGTGTTTTGTTTTCTATATGATGTTTTTTCTAAAATAAAACTCGAAATTTTTCTCAAATTTGGAAATATTTTCTCAAATATTTGTTTTCTTTGAAAATAATATATAATCCTTATATGTTAAACATTTAAAGTTTTCTTTTTATGTTTATAAAATGTTTGTATCTTTCACTCAGTTAGGACATTAGTCAGCGGAAATTCTATGTTGGTCAGGTCGGTGTGTTCACGCTTCTCGGACCAACATCTGAAATTGTTTGTTATGCCAAGAAATCCTTGCTCAAAACTCCGATGGACCTCCTACGGCATCCATTACTAGTTAAAGATTAAATAGAAAAATATAAACCTTTCAAATGTAGCGTTTATAAAATAGAAATATTCCCTGTGGAACACCCCCAACCCCCTTTTTTGCGCTCTCTATTTTCAACCCTCGAATTAAGCTTTCCAATCTAATTAATTTAAAAATTAAAACCTAGCTTTCTAACCGATCTATTCATGTACCGGACCGGCAACTCTCGTTATTTTATAAGAAAATCTACAATGCCGTTATACACATGCGTGTTGTCTGCTTGGAGTCTCCGCACAGGCACTTGACTCAGAATAAATACCGAATATGGAAAGTGGAACTACAATTCAAAACATAAAGTCCGAAGGCACATAGAAGAATTTTTTTTTTTTTTTTTTGCAAAGGATGCCGGGGTAACCCTCCATGTGTTCAAAATATACATGAAATATCATAACCCCGAGTTTTCGATCTGTTACATGCCACGAAATCCTTGCTCAAAACTCCAGTGGTCCTCCTACGGCACCCATTTGTAGATTTGATTTTATTCAACAAAATAATGTATGTCCTGCATGTACGTATCGCTTTGAACACGGACATATGCCTATACCAAATGGTCAATATTAATCATCCATGTAATTTGCTCTATGGTAATTTTTTAGCTTGTAAAGGTAAAAAATCCATGTCGGAGAAAGGTGTTTTTTTTTTGTCAAAGAGATTAATGAAATTTACCGGTAAATGGAGTTACAGTGAATCCAATTCAATTTAACAATGGTGGGTTGAACCTGGTTTTATGGCAAGCCAAATCTCTCTCTTATAGGCAATGTTAGAAATACCGCTTAATTGACAATAAAATTTGTATTTATGGCGAAATAATACACTATAAAATCTTGAAATTACTGAGGCAAAGGGTTTTTTTTTTAATTGCGAACATATCAAAAGTATTATGCAGAAAAAAAATCGGCACTTTACAATCTTTAATTAAGCACAAAAATTTATCAATAAAAAAAAAGAGTGCACTCAAATATCTTGGCTGCTTTATTTATCATGATTGAAGAATGTTGAAAATCTGTAATATATCTTGATTGCTGTTTCATTGAATATCTCACATCTACTTTATTAATATTCAGAATGCTTTAAAATTGTTTTTAAAATCAGGAAAAGAAACTTGAATTGTGTCTTGTGTCTTACTAATCGTTGACTGAAGAGGAAAAAAATGAAGACACATATTTGCTAATTCAATCTTTATATTTCTGTGCTCTATGACGGGTACATCATAAGTAGGAGATATCGATATGGTGAGGAGTGAATTAATCGGGTTATAAAAAATTGGTGTTTTTTTTTCGAATGATTTTGATTTTTTTTTCTAAAATAAAATTTTCTATACAAATTCGCATTTTTGCTATTACAAAGGTATATATAGCTATTCTATAAGAATTAAACAACTTGAATGATACAATTGTCCGAGGAAAATGCTTTTGATGTTCTGTTAAAAGAGGAGAAAGTTGAAGATATCCAGGGGACTCCACAAGATTTGAGAAAGAAAATCGTTTTTCCAATTTTTAATCATATAAATTTACATACTCTTAAATAACTAGTTTCTAATTGAAACAGTGTACTTGTCGGATTTCCTTTCAGAGAACAGAATTAATCATCATTCTATAGAGAAACACTAAAGGAGGTTAACTTCACTATCTGTTTGTATGTAAAAAATATTTGTACTTAGAAATAATTTCATTCCGATATATAAAATAGCAGAAAACCAAACGAAACAAAACTAAGTACATGCTTAGATGTATAATCTATGGTACATGATATCAGCATGTGATTTACAGCTATATTTCAATGTTTTTAAAAGAAAAAAAGCAATTTATTGTAGTCTCATTATTTTATTGTTTACCTGCTACTGATGCATTATGATAATTGTTATGTTATCTGTTTTATTTGTTGCTGTTGTTATTCGTATAGTTTGTTTCTTTTTGTCAGAATTGCAATATGGTATTTTATGTTCTTGCATACTATAGAGACGTTAATCAAGTGTCTTGTTTTAAATTCTGATAGGTCGAGTTATCATCAGACTTCAAAATGTTGAATTAGTTGAATTGTACTGCTAATTGTAATTATAAACTTAGTGATGTGCAATTTGATAAGTTATTCAATAGATTACACTCGTGTCACAGGATATCGATGTATACCCTAGGTGGTCATTCAGGTTCAATAAACAATGACAGGATGTTGTTGATTAATTCATCTGTTGAAACAATTTTAACAGACCAATCCGCATTATTTTCCAGGACTCGCACGCAGTACTAGTTATCTCTCATACCTCAAAATACAGAACGCATCAGCTCAATCAACATTGTGAGGGTCTTGATGGGGTTTATAGAATCAATGAATAGTATATTTCAATGTGAAAATAAATTTTGAAAAATGAATTTGACTCTGTTTTCCTCTTTGTTTCTATCATTTATCATATATTTTGTTCTCCATAATCACAAAAACGCACTACCCTTAAAGTATTAATAACATGGAACAATTCAGAAACAACTCAAAAACATCGTTGAACATGTATAATTAATTCTATTTTATTCAAAATACTGTTCTCATAACAAAAGTATATTTTCATGTCCATTCTGGTCTTTAGTGCTACCATTATCAGTATTCGAGTTAACTATAGTTTAAAAAGCTTCTAAATGCACACAAATGTGCACAGGATTTTTTTTTGAAATAAATATGGTTAAAATATCATTCCAGAACATGAATGTTGCACTGAAACGTTTTATTGGAGTATATTTGGGTATATTGGGGTAAAAAGTCATTTTGTGATCGTAAGCGGCTGACAAGAACGGAACAAGTTTCAATGAAAAAAGTGATTTAAAATTAAATATATTTATAAAATAAAGTATTGTTGGTGTTAAAATAACATGGAAATGCCTAAAATGTTATTATTATTCAATAATATTTTGTTGAAACTGTTTTTTGATGTATATTGGGGTATATTGGGGTATGTTGGGGTATATTGGGGTAAAAAGTCGCACCCCCTAATTACTGCATATGTTTAATTCATTGAATGGACTTGAATGTGCATATTGTGGATGTATTATATATCTGATTGAAAAACTATGACAAATACAATTCTTATAACAGAACAAACTTTAAACGAGGAACAGATAAAAAATGCCTGTGAAGACCTTCAAAATGATGAGGTGAAAATTTTATCAATACGAGATTGTAAACTGCCATTTGCAAAGCTGAAACACATTTTAAAATTGGTTGAATCTTCGGAATCCTTGTTGCAGCTATGTCTATGTGTTGGAATTATAACAGATCAACGTCGAATCGACTTGTTATGTAGAACCATAAAAGCCAATCGATCACTACATGCCTTATTGTAAGAAAGAAATTAATTATTTATCATACTTTCTTACAGTCCTAACTACACATAAGATAAATGTCTCTTTGCACTAGTAAGGCTCCTTTGCCTTAAATTGCTTTAGTTAGCTTTTATTTTAAATATTTAAATATCAGTTTGGCATAATAAAAGGAGGATCTGCATCATATATTTGTTTGTACCTAGGCTTTCATTGCTGTGAATCAATTATCTAAACATGGTTTTTCCCGCTAAAACAAAGATGGATCTGACAAAAGGAAAGGAGGTACATGTATGTTCCCGATTGTCAAAACTCAAAACAATGTCAACAAATGACCCATTCATTTAGGTTTTGCCCTCCTTTCTTCCATTGCAGTTGCTGTTTTTAATAAAAGAGCTTCATCATCACTCTTTCCATACTTTCATCAGATGAAGATGATGAACTGTCAATAGAATTTTCAATGCATAAAAGAGTTCGAAGGGCGATATCCACCTGAGTGTCTAAATCATCTTCCGCAGCAGCAATTTTCCCGCTTAATAAGTTTGTTTGCCAACAACATGCACATGCATTTTTGACAGTTCAAACAGGGTCAGTAAACTCTGATTAAACAATATATTTTTTCTGCTTTTGTAGTGTTTATCAAACAATAACAAACGGCACACACTGTTTAAAAACTTTCTGTAGAAAGAAATGAACTCTTAATAGTATCTTTTTTGGGAAAAAAAACTTAAAACAAAACTACATGTATAATGGAAAGAATGTAATAAATAACTTGTCTATATAATTATGGATTATAAAATAAAACTGTTCATGTAAAGTAATTGATTTATTGGAAGTGGATTAATGTTATTATTATTTTTTCATGTTTTATTTAAAATATAGTATTCATGGAAACAGTATTGGAGATGCAGGAATGAAGAAAATAGCCAAGACACTGCTCCATCATCCAACAATTGCTTCATTAGATGTTGGTGATTGTGACCTTAGTGATGATTCTATAGAGACCATTTGTAACCTTTTACCTCCTCGTGGAAAAAAGTCAGGTATGATTTGTCCATTACTTACTGTTTTGAGAGAAATGGGATCTATTTGGCTACTGTTGTTGAATTGCTGTCTCATTCCTTTTCTATGTTATATAATACGAGTCTTCATAGTTCATGTAATTATTTCAAGGCATTCTTATATCACTACAGTCATGGAAAAGAAATCTTACTTGATTGGTCTATTTTATTTTTATAGGTTTAATTGACCTTACAATGAGTTCTAATCAGAAAATAACAGAACAAGGATGGATCAAACTGAGTGTTTCCATGGCAGCCAGTAGTTGTTTACAGGAGTTGTATCTAGATTACAACATGATAGGTGACTTAGCAGCATCTTCTATGTTGGTTGGCTTAGCATCTCATAGTCAGCTCCAGGTTCTTGATTTGGAAGGAACTTGCATCACTGATAGGTTTGCTGAGGTTTGTAGTACCAGCTCACGTAACACTTTTAACCTGAACTATATGATATCATATGTTAAAGCATTCACTCAAATCTGATGAAAAAATAATGAAACTTGGACAGAAGCTTTGTTTTTGATCAAATACAAGCATGCATCCAGAGCAAAATTAAAAAAAAATATCTTTTTTTTCATTTTTCTGTATTTTATTGAAATGGACTAACCATAGTGTTTTTGCCCAAAACTTTAGATTGTCTGGTTTTAAAGTATTTTAAGACCTCAATAACTTTGTAAAACTTTAATGAAATTTTATGAAACTTGGACAGAACCTTCCTTGAATGGAAGCTTCTTCATAATCAAGATACAAAATGTAGCACCCAGAGCTAAATTTGTAATTTTTCATTTAAATTTGTAGGTATACATTGTATTTGTATTTTACTAATAAATTGACCTTTTTGGCAAGTCAGTGTTACGCTTTTACACTGACAGCAGCATAACCCTTTGCAAATTTATGTATTAGGTAATTGTTCACGTTCTTAAAGATAGTCCTGAACCTTTAACTTTTTTAAATGGAAATGTGATATTCTTGTTATTTCAGCCTTGAATCCAAATAAATATACAATTAACAGTAAATTAAACTGCTCTTTGTTAGGCTACCTCATTTAAATGGAACTAGAAAATAATTTTAAATTTATTATCAAGTGTCTGTGAGCAGGACTAACTTTGACTTTTGTAAAATTGATCAAATTATTTGTGTTTGAAATTTTTAACTTATAACAAAAAAAGTCCAAATACATTCATTATCTGGAAATATTTACACAGAATTTAACAATTCATTTATTATCTCTTTACAGTTACTATTGTATCTGATTGAGAACTATCCAACAAAACTACAGAAGATTAATTTGGGGGAAAATAACATTAAATATAGACTATTAAAGTCTATTAAGTCAAGTTTACTAGATGTTGAAACAGAATCTGAACTGTCAGAAAAACTTGATAATGCAAGTTCAGTGAAATCATCACCAATTTATTCTAATGAAACAAGTGATGCTGAACCAGAAGAAACTACTGATGCAACAACAGAAACTGAGGTCCAAACAATTGAAATCAAAACAAACCCAGAATTGAAAGGAAAGCATAAACCAAAACTTGAGGATACAACTAAAAGTAGTGACTCTCTATGGGATGGAGATGAACTAATCGAAATAACAGAACCACCTTTAATCAGTGCAATACCAACATTTAAACATTTTACAGGTGTAAATTTAGGTCAAAAAGTAAGTGTGTCATCAGGTAGAGGGACTTTACCAGAACAAGACCATTCTGATGAAGAACTTAAGGAAGTTAAACACGATTCACTTTGTTGAACACAGATGAACTAGAGCCTATTTATCTGTCTTATGATGTAAACACATTTCAAAAAAATGTAAACTTTTATATAGACTATGTAAAACACTACAGCAAAACAGTTTTAATTCTGTTGTTTTTAGTGCTATCATCTTTTTGTACTTCTATATTAACATTTGCAGTAAAAGTTACTATGAAAAGTAGCTTCTTACAAAGGCTGATCTACTATAAATCTATCAAGATATTAAACTTTATTATCTTTTGAAAAAAAAGAGATGGAATGTGCACTTTTGAAAAACAGAATGAGATGGAATGTGAACTTTTGATAAACAAAATCTGATGGAATAGTCTCTACTAAAAGGACTCATCCTTTTATTAATTTGATGTCAATGGGACATAATTTTTTGTCCTATATATCAGACACAGTAATAAATATACACCAATTCTGTTAAATTGCAGTTAACCATGTACAATTAGATCTATTAATTCTGTTGTCTTTTTTCACTTGCACTTGTTGATCAAGATGGGGTACCCCTAGTATAGGAATAATTTGGGCACTTAGATTCCTAAGTAAAATATGCTCTTAATTTGCTTTCTTGCATGCTAAAATTTGTTAAAGTGTGCAACTGTATGGAATCACAGTACATAAAGTATATAAATATAATGCATTTTGTTTTTTTACTAGTCATAAATGATAGTAACGCTGTTGTAAACTTTAACAGTTTATAAGAAAACTCACACAAATATAGGCTATAAAACTATTGCTTCAGTAGTTAGCTTTTTCTGGTTTGTAATACAGTAAATTAAAACTGTAGCAGTAAAATGGTACATCAGTACAGTTACTGCAAGACATCTATTTTCTAATACATCTTAAAGCCATACCCAGTCAAACAAGTAGCATTGTAATCCGTACAATATTTTGAAAAGATGAACTGCATAGGAATACCATCTCCATTCAACTATAAGTCATGTTCAGTACATGTATTACAACCCTTAATTAAGCTGCATGAAAAAAGACATAACCCTCTAGGTTTATAATTACCTTCCATCTATTATATATATAGTCACATTTTAAGACTAAATTGATGGCAATTAAGATCATAGTTGTATTTGAAGTGAATGTGTTGATTAATAGAATGTCATGATACCAAATCGAGTCCATCAGGGTTCTTAATTAATATCCTATAATGACAATATTTTTATTACTGCTGCACTTCACTCTATAATTTATCAAATAGTAAATGGAATTTTCAACTAATATTATTTCATATAAATGTAAATCTTCCAGATCTGCAATATGTTTCATTGAGCAATTAAGTCATATAATTAGTGACTTATTACTGTATAATGCATATTGTTAGATTTATGTGATATTTATTCTTTTATATTTAATGTTGTTTAAATGTTACTATGTTACACTATTAATGTTTTAAAGTAAAGTGTTGAAAATGTGTTCAGTGTTTCAATGAAAGGATATCTGTATGTATAAATGCCATCTGGTTTTATTAGGCGTTTCCTACTATTCCACAAGGAACAGAAAAAAACATGAGGCTGTCAGAGTGACAGCAAACCGAATTTTCCTGTAGAGGTAGAACCCTGAACAGTTGAGCAAGTATGGATACTACATTTAAGCTTAAAACAGCTCTGAATTTGGATTGTGATTGAATATTTGACACAGCATAGGTTTGTGACTCAAAATGAATGTGGTCAAAGAACTGAAATATTTGAAATTGGACATTTACCTATTATGGTCCAATTTCCAAAATCTAAGTACATATTAGAATCAGCATATCAAAGAAACCCAAGAATTCAATTTTTGATGAAATCAGACAAAAGTTTAATTTAGGACCCTTTGGACCTCGATGTGGACCAATTTGATAAAGGAGCCCACAATCCAAAATCTCTCAATACATGGTTACATTCAGCATTTCAAAGAACCCCATAAATTCAATTTTTGTTGAATCAAACAAAGTTTAATTTTGGACCCCGATTTGGACCAACTTGAAAACGGCCCAAAAATCTAATATTTAAATACAGGTTTAGATTCAGCATTTGAAAGAACCCTATATATATTTAATTTATGTTGAAATGAAACACAGGTTAATTTTATCCATAATATTTTCTGTGCAAAGGGAAATAACTCAAACTGGATAAATAGTTCTCTAAAATAAGAAATGATGCAATTTTTCAAATTATAATCAATAATATAATAACAACAACCAGTGATGACTAAGTTCTCTAAAATTAGATATGATTTAACACTCAAACATTGTTAGAATCAGCATATCAAAGAACCAAAGAATTCAATTTTTGATGAAATTAAACAAAAGTTTAATTTAGGACCCTTTGGACCTCAATGTGGTATTATCTTATTAATAATGAAAAGAAATACAGGTTTAGATTAAGCATTTCAAAAAACCCTATATATATTCAATTTATGTTGAAATCAAACACAGTTTAATTTTGGACCCCGATTTGGACCATCTTGAAAACTGGGCCCAAAATCAGAAATCTAAATATATGTTTATTAATAGACAATATAAGCTTAGTTTTTAAAGGAGTTGACTTCATCAAAAAAAAATATATAGCATTCAGAAAATTAGTTTTTACAGAATAACAAACAAACTTGCCACAAAATTCTTCAAACAATTTACCAAAGAAAAGAAGAAAAAAATCCAAAATTTTATTTATCATTAATACAATGTCTTTTCAAAATCTATAAAACTTATCAGTAACAAGAAATAATTGTAACAGGATGCTGTTACAAAGTCTCCCAAACAAAGCTCCAATAATTCGTTATTCCCATGTTCGCATGACATTGGGCAAAGTCCAGTACAAATTGGTTTGTGATATGCATAATCGACGCCTATGGATTGACCCTGTATGTCATTCAAATCTTCTTGACCGTTTACAAGTTCTCAAACAGGAGGGGGTGGGGGTGACTCCAGGGGACTCGCCTTTTATTACATTGGATTTGTTTTATTGTCCCATATAAGAATATATATGGTTTCGGGGTGGGGATCTTGACCGTTTACAAGTTTTCAAAAAGAAGGGGGGTGGGGGTGACCCCCCTGGACTTCCCCTATATTTCATTTGATTTGTTTTATTGTCCCATACAAGAATATATATGGTTTAGGGGTGGGATCTCGACTGTTAACAAGTTTTCAAAAAGAAGGGAGTGGGGGTTACCCCCGTGGACTTCCCCTATATTTCATTTGATTTGTTTTATTGTCCCATACAAGAATATATATGGTTTAGGGGTGGGGATTTCGACCGTATACAAGTTCTCAAACAGGAGGGGTTGGGGGTGACTCCAGGGGACTCGCCTTTTATTACATTTGATTTGTTTTATAGTCCCATACAAGAATATATATGGTTTCGGGGTGGGGATCTTGAACGTTTACAAGTTTTCAAAAAGAAGGGGGGTGGGGGTGACCCCTCCTGGACTTCCCCTATATTTCATTTGATTTGTTTTATTGTCCCAAACAAGAATATATATGGTTTAGGGGTGGGGATCTCGACCGTTTACAAGTTTTCAAAAAGAAGGGGGTAGGGGTTACCCCCGTGGACTTCCCCTATATTTCATTTGATTTGTTTTATTGTCCCATACAAGAATATATATGGTTTTGGGGTGGGGATCTTGACCGTTTATACAAGTTTTCAAAAAGAAGGGGGGGGGGGGGATGAACCCGGGGACTCCCCCAATATTTCATTTGATTTGTTTTATTGTCCCATACAAGGATATAATGGTTTAAGGGTGGGGATCTCGACCGTTTACAAGATCAAAGCACATTCTCAAATTGAAGGGGGAAGGGGGTAGGAATATATATGGTTTAGGGAGACTTAATTATCTACAAAATGTCTAATAATGAACAGTAAATTTCAAACTTCATTTATACAGTCCTACTAGTAAATTTCAAACTTTATATATACAGTCCTACAGATTTATCAGGAAACAGAAAATTTTCAAATAAATCTGTCACACCAATGATTATCATATGCTAAGATATCTAATTAATAATGAAAATCATACTTGCAAATCTGAAGGGTTATTTCCCTTTGAACAGAACTATGGTTTAACATAGTACTCTAACATTACATATATAATAATTAATAATGTAATTTACTTCAGAATGTCTAATCAAATAGCTTATAATCATCACCACTTAGGAAATAGAAAATTTTCAAATAAATCTGTCACTCCAATTTTTATTGTGAGATAAGACATTTACTTAATGCTTAGTCATAATATGATAACAAGAGAAAAATATTTAAAAATACCACTTTTGGATATTAAAAATGGCGATAACTCAAAAAGGAGAAATACTAAAATCGTGAAAATTGAACTTGATCTTCATTTAGTCACAAGAAACAACATATCTAAATTTGAAAAAAAATCCACAGCGTTTTCATGTTATTGAAGAGACACTGTTTGGCAGCCACTCGTCCGCCCGCCCGCTCACCGTACATCCCCAAATCAATAAAGGATATTTCCTTCGAAAGTCTGGTTAAAAACTGTTATTCATTAGTATTACCACTATTTCCCTTATGATGTGTGTGCTTAAAACAAATTACTGTACATACAAATATCTTTGACTGTTCCATTCAATTATCAAGATGCTTGATTTCTTGATTGACAACATATTTGTTACGTTTGGAGGACATGTTTTTCAACAAACAATCGGCATCCCCATGGGAACCAACTGTGCCCCTCTTCTAGCTGACTTGTTCCTTTATTCATATGAGGCTGACTTCATACAGGAGCTTCTTAGGAAACAAGAGACTCTCAAGAGCCTGAATCGCTCACCTGTATTTCAGAGGAGAAGATTTTTAAATGTTAGCAAACTTTATGAACAAATTGTGTAAAATTGTCTTTAAAGGGCAATAACTCCTTAAGGGGTCAATTGACAATTATGGTCATAATTAACTTTTTTGTAGATCTTACTTTGCTGAACATTATTGCTGCTTACAGTTAATAATTATGTATCTATAATAATATTCAAAATAATAACAAAAAAACTGCAAAATTTTGTTAAAACTACCAATTCGGTGGCAGCAACCCAACAATGGGTTTTTCGATTCATCTGAAAATTTCAGAGCTGATAGATCTTGACCAATTGAACAATTTTACCCCCCTGTCAGATTTGCTCTAAAAGCTTTAGTTTTTGAGATATAAGCCCAAAACTGCATTTGACCCCTATGTTCTATTTTTAGCCATGGCGGCCATGTTTGTCGATGGATCAAAACTTCGGATACAATTTATAAACAAGATACCCTAAGTTTGGAGGTATTTGGCCCAGTAGTTTCAGAGGAGAAGATATTTGAAATAGTTTACGACGACAGACAACGACAGCGACAGACGACGATGGACGCCAAGTGATGGCATAAGCTCACATGGGGCCCTTTGGGCCCCGGTGAGCTTAAAAGAAAAGAAGTTAGCAGTATCCGTTAACTTTACTTTCCGCTACATAGATGTTGTTCTCTCACTAAATAATTTAAAATTTGGTGACTATGTTGAACGCATCTATCCCATCGAACTTGAGATAATGGATATAACAGATAAAGTTAAGACTGCCTCATATCTTAACTTACATCTAAAAATTGACTATAAGGGTCTGTTTAAAACAAAACTTTACGACCAAAGAGATGATTTCAGGTTCCCAAATGGGAACTTCCATTTTTATGTAGCAACATCCCAGCAGCGCCTACATACAGAGTATATATCTTCCATTTGATACAATAATCTAGGGCTTGTATTTCCTATCATGATTTCCTTGATAGAGGGTTGCTGCTCACAAGGAAGCTTTTAAGTTCTAAGTGGTGAAGTTGAAATCATACCTTCATAAATTTTACGACACCATCACGAGTTGGTTGACCATTATGGAATATCCGTTTCACTGATGATAGCAGATATATTCCAAATGTCGTAATCATATTCCCATCTCCTTTTCCCGAATGTGACCTACAGAATTAGACTTTTATTACCGGGTTTGCACTAACATGAGCAACACGACAGGTGCCACATGTGGAGCAGGATCTGCTTACCCTTCCAGAGCACCTGAGATCATCCCCCTTTTTTGGTGGGGTTCATGTTGCTTAGTCTTTAGTTTTCTATGTTGTGTTATGTGTACTGTTGTTTGTCTGTTTGTCTTTTTCTTTTTTAGCCATGGCGTTGTCAGTTTATTTTCAACTTGTGAGTTTGAATGTCCCCTTGGTATCTTTCGCCTCTCTTTAACAACTAGTCATATATCTTTTTTAAAATTCAAGATATATACATATCAAATGCTTTATAATAGCAAATTTTATAGAAGTTTAAAATTGTAAGTTATAATACAGGCAGTACTTATTGTTTCCATATAAATATATAAAAACTTTTGTACAGTGCAACATAAATATACTACGAGTTCTTAATATTTCAAATAACGAAGAGATAAACAATTACCTATGAATGTGCAAATAACCTCCTGTAACAGCTGGATTGATTGATGCAAGCTTATTATTCAGTGGCAAATATTACATGCATATTAATGTCAATTCCAGAAGCTGTTGTGCATTAAATTACAATATTTATCAAATGTAAATTCAAATTCTGTGAAAAAATAATGAGAACAGTGAAGATTATTCATATATTTATTTTCATACAATTCCAATGGAATTTTGAATACTTCTAAAAATCAAAATAATCATAAAAGACAACATATCAATTATTAAAGATATTTCTTGAACCATCATGTCCATTTTTGGTAAAGTTGGTAAGCTGTTTCAGAATATCTTCTTTAAAGGTCAATTATCTTATTCATAAAACAATGATTCTTGTAAAGATGATGTTAACCTTACTTTAAACATAAATCAATCCAGTAAAACCTGCAGATGCACATGTTTCTAATGAATACAGCTGATATGATAGATTTTTTGGATATCAGTTAAACAGAAACTAATGAAAAGCAGAAAATAATTAATGATTAATTTATAAGGCCTTCAGATTGAAATAAATAAAGACAAATCTGTTTGAAGGGTTTTGATAGTTTTAGTATGGAAGATTATACACCATCCAAAACTAACCTATGTTATTTCATTTCCCTATTACAAAGTTCTATCAAAAAATAAATAGACACAAATAACACACATGGTCAATAATCAAATTTCAATTTTCTAGGAGTCATAAATTGTTTAACAATGTCATCTGTCAGCTGGGACCTTCTTTGTCTATGTTCACCTACTATTTTCTGTAATATTTCTATCAGTTCTTTCTTTAAGTAACCCGTTAAAAGTTCTCCACTTGTGTAAGTCTGAAAAATAAGTACATTATTTTATCACAAAGTATAAAGCCAATACATGTTAAATTTTAATCTTTTTTAGTCCAGGGATACAGTGAAGGATTGCAAGATTTCATACTAGCAGCAGTTTAAGTAGTTTGTGCTTGCCAACAGTAACTGTAAGCAATCTTTGATGGTGTATATATAGATTTTACCACTGCATTGAGTGTGATACAATAAGATGTGTTCTTTTTATGTAACGTCATCAGACACAGTTGCCTTTTTTCATGACGTCGCAATAGCAAATTCAAGGGAAAGCAAGAAAATCTGACCTCATAACTGAATTTTGACCTTTCATGTTTGATCATATACTTATTTATGGATTAATTTTTGTGTTTTGTTTAACACTAGCAAATTAGCTAGGTATTTTATAGATTGGAAAACAGATTTTTAGTTTATCAAAGACTGAGTAGTGACCACTCAACTTGCAGACAAACTCTTATTACAAATATATGAGTCCAGAATAGACAAGAGGGATAGAAATGTACAAGACAATATAGGCACAAACATAATTCATGTTCGTTTGAACATTGTTAGTTAGTTTAGATGTTAAATGTTCTACACAAAAACTAAAAAAAGTCAAACGGTCCCATGTACTTAATTTTAAATGAACAATAATTAGATAACTTAATATTTAAATCATTACAAATTTCTAAGTAACTTGAGCATGGTTGAGAGGAGGGATACCAGCAATACTTCTGCACCTGTAAACCAATTGTCAAAAAAAGATATCCAATGTCCCTGTGTTGCACATATTTTATCTGTCCGAGGGCTATAAGTACAAATATATTTTTTTTAGTATGTTATATCATTTTATGAATATCTTAAGAAAAATGGAGGCTTGAGAGCCTTTACAATGCAACTTTCCATATAATTAATATTTCCAAGGGGCATAGTTGACTTCACCTTTGATATGAATTTCATTAAAATCTGGCAAGAATTGTGCTGTACATGTGAGATCGCTTACAAGACCCGACAGATGGACAGACAGATGCCCCATATTTTTATTGTCCCCCGCAACGACTCACTTTTATCAAGCTTCATGACATTCATCATTGGGTAAAAAACTGGTTACAGTTGAAAAGTCCTGTATAAACAAATTGATAGAAAATAGGTGATTTACCAAATAATATTTGCTATTTAAAAATGTTATTAGTAATAGTAATTCAATAACTTACTTTTCTAATTTCCTCTAGTCTGTTGTCATCTTCTAAGAAAAATGTTAAGTACTGGTAAGAAACATCCACATCACAGTTACCTCCCTTCTCTTTGTGTTCTTCTACTGTTGTGCCACCACCAGAGAATGCATATTTATTTATCTGTAAAAGGTATTGATACATATTTATAACTATGCCTTTTAGCTAAACTCACATAGGAAGATGCAAATGTAAAAAGGAGAAATAAATTGGGTCAGATACATGTAGATTATCAGGATATCTTCTTAATATTGACATCATAAAATATCATATTTAAGTCACAACATTCAAAAGTCATAATTGACTACATTATGATGAGTTGAGCAGAATGATGAAAGAAATCTGAAATATTAAAATATGTTACGGGCATAGGACATTTGTGCGAAAATAAAAAATGCACATAGGGTCATTTGAGCGCCAACATCATAGTACATTTTAGCGCCGTAATATTAACCTGACCTGGAGTCGGTTTCACAAAAAAACTTACGACTAAGATTGATCGTAAGTATACTGAATTGTTCATGACTTACGATCAATCTTAGTCGTAAGTATTTTTTTGAAACCGATTCCTGGATTTTCAAATAGGATGTTTGAGCAAATTTTCATGTGATACTTTTATATGAATTATGAAAATATTTTTAAAAAGTAAGAAAAAAAGAGTAAGTTTCTAAAATAAATATATTTGTCAAATTACAATATGTGACTTACATCAACATTCGGAGTTTGAATATTGATGCACCTCAGAGCCGAACAGACAAGGAGAAGAAAACAGAATCTCCTGGACTAGCATTTGCGGTACTGCCAGCAGGAAATATCAATCAATATTAAATTATGTCAGAAGCCTAGGATTTAAATTTCAAGCCCTAACTGACTTGTAAATAATGCCATTGCCAAGTTTTAAGTTTTATGACAGTGCTATTTTTTTTTTACAATTAAAAGATGTTATTAAAACTTTGTGCGTTATAATCTCCACATTTAATCAATAAAAAATCTTTTATCTGTTATTAAAAAGGTTTGAATCCATATTAGTTACCTTGGTCTTAATTTGCTTGTCAGTATCTGTTAAGAAAATAGATGAATTGGGGTCACTTGCACTCATTTTAGTTTGTGCTCCTTGTAGGGCTGGGAAGAAAGTAGAGTGCATTAAAGCTGGCTTTGAATAGCCCAATCTTGGTGCTACATCTCTGGTCATTCTGAAGTATGGATCCTAGAAAATAAATACACTAATTACATGAGAAATCATAAAAAAAATTTAAATCATGTAATATCAAAACATGACTTTCTCAGGTTTAAAGATGGTTCATTAGTACTTCAATCTTTTGCCATCTCCCATTATATTTTTACAATCAAAGATATATATACCGGTAGTATGATCACCAGCTAAAGTTGGAAGAATGCTGTTTCATTTATCAAATATCTTTTTCATTTATAAATGGATTTCTTTTTTCACTGAATTGTTTATTCCCATCCAGCATGTTTTCTTGGAGATACCTCTCATGTACTGCATTTTTAATGCTTGGCGTCAAAAATTCTTTTTCTATGACGGCAAATATTACAGAAATGGGAGGAACTCATGTTTATACAAGTGAGGGAACACCAATTTTAATCAAAATAATGTAGTGTCTTGATATAGATATATATCAATTCATAATATAAATAGAATAATTTTTACCTGATCTATTGCACAAGGGATGAGACATGGAATATTAGTTTTGTTGTTGAATATCTGTGGAAATGATGAACTGAAGCTGGGTGCTGCCTGAATGGAAGGAAAACTGATCTTTCCTATACATGTACTGTCATCAAAACCAAATATACCCTTCACTTGATTATATGTCACTAACTTCTGCGTTCTTAACATATTTCTATAAAAAGCAGGACTTTGTCTGAAAAACAAATGAACAATACAAATAAAATCTATGAAACCATGCATCCATAAGGATCCACCTATGCCACACTAGCGTTGTACAATACTACCAACCAGAATGAACGAATACACAGACCTTATCGAAAGATTCTCGATCATTGCATGAAATGATCGCAAAATTTTACACACCACCAGAAGAAAGAAGGAGAGATATGGAAACAGATGCAACCATAGGAAAATACATATAAGGAGCCCTCTATTACGGAAAATTAACATACAACACATTAGTACACAATCCTGGTAGTCAAATGTAATTGGAATACCAGGCAACCCATTCAGAGAAAAGAAAACAGAATGAACCACAGGAACCACACACAATATTTATGATGCCAAATTTGATCCGTTGACACTTTATTAACAAATTAAATATTTACAGATCTACCACGAGTTTTATAATTTCCAATACCAGCAGCAATCATACATCTCATAATATTCACAATGCAATTGGAAGCAGTACCTCCTAGAGCAAAGCCAGTTGAATTGGTACGGAAATACCAGTGAGGTGATTTCCATTTGGGAAATTAAACTGAACATTTTATCATCCCCTTTCATCATCTCTATAACAATACCACTAGGAACCTCCAATGAGACTGTACAAGACGGGTGTGAATAGCAGCCAACCACAATTTATAACTTTATTGACTTACTTCTACTTTCTAATCAAGTTAACTATTTTTATTTTTATTTTACTTTCACTGTCTTTTTTTATGGATAACGTCTTCATAACAACCATTATTGTAACATTGCTTCCTATTTACGGCAATAACCCTAAAATTTGTATTTCACTGTTTTATTTCATATGTATATACTTGTCCTGAATACGCCATGCTTGCTGGCGAAACATGTTGACCATTAAAACTATTACTTTGGGGTAATTTATGAGTGTTGTTGTCTTTAATGTTGATATATTCTTACTTTTTGAAAGACAACAACTGTGAATACCTAGAGGTATCCACTCTATTTTACCCTACCGCATGATCACCACCTCAGGTGTTGGTTCTCTTAAACAATTACAATACAAATTAAAGTTTAAATCTGAAATGTAACTCTTCTGAAACAAACTGTTCTTTAAATCTAAAAACTTAATCAACGCTTTTCAACAGAATAGCAGATGCACAACAATGTTATGTCCTTTAACAGAATATTTGCAAGTTTAGTTTAATTTTGTCAAACTATTTTCAAGGAATTGGGCATTAACAAAAAGTGATACAGATGACTCTTTCAACACAAGAAGACAGAAGTGATCCCCATGTGTTGCTACAGCATCTCTTTCTGGCTACACAACAATAATTGATGTCAACATGACATGATTTTTTTATTAGTTATTATTAGCTTTGAACTAGCTGTCAGTAACTGCTAGTACTCTCAGATCTGTACTTTGTGTCTTTTTTGTTTTAGGGATGTATAACTACATCGTCAGGTTCGGTTTGTGTTTTTGTTAGATGGTTTTATGCTATGTAATGATCTGATGAGTTAAGCCCTTTTTCAACTGATTTTTTTATTGTTGTACTGTTACACCACTGTCCCAGGTTAAAAGGAGGGCTGGCCCCTTTAAACATGTGTAACCCCACCACACTCTATATGTGCTTGTCCATGTCAGGGCCTTTTATAGCGAACTATGCGGTATGAGTTTTTCTCATTGTTGAAGGCTGTACAGTTGCCTATAATTGCTTACATCCACTTCATTTTAACTGTGGTGGATAATTGTCTCATTGGCAATCATACTACATCGCCTTATTTTTATAATGACCACAGACATAGATGCCATCATCAAACAAGAGCAAAGTGCCACTTTGAAAAAATGGGAACTTTTTTAAAGTAATATATTTGTAGTCAACTTTGGCATGTAATAATGGCGATAAAACGATTAAGATTTTAGCGAGAAAGAGAATGTTAGGATTCAAGATTAGTGTAATGATAAACTACTGTGTTATGATAGTAAACTCTGTGTTATGTTTAACCATTCGTTTTCACATACTTACGTTATATATTCTAAATCACTAAATATAAAGGTTTTCTCAACATCAAAACCTAAGGCAATTATATCTTTGGCATTTTCAAAGGAAAGTCTGTTAGCTTCTTCTAAAGTAAGATCCTTCCATAAAAACTTTTCATCATCTGTCAACTGAACAACTAATGGAACATCAAATGCTTCTTGAAGCCATCTAAAATTAATTTTAAATTCAATAAATTTATAGAATAAACAAGCATTCTGAGAGTATTGCATGGCAATACATAGTCCCCTACCGGGTAAAAATTCATTTTACTGGAACAAAATGCTAACTTGTTCTATAACTCGTCATGGTGTAAACAAAAAGTAAATATCATGTCAATATCTTCAAGCATGACTAAAAACAGAGCGGAAAACTGATTATATGAGTGAAAAAAACATTAGATATGATTAATAGTTCTCTAAAATTAGATATGATGTAATACAGTGTATATCTATTTTCAAATTATAATCAAATGTAATTAATAGTTCAAAATATTTTTTCTTTCATTTGTCACAAACTAATATAGATTTGTAACTTGTCCATAAAATGTCAACAACTTTTATCTACACAATGTAATGTATTGAAATATATTCATTAAAAAAATAGATTATTATCTAATTAAAGGATTTCTCTTCATAATTTTTTTTTATAGAAAATTAGTTTATACTAAATAACAAACAAACCTAACAAAAAATTCTTCAAAAATTTAACAAAGAATGTCTTTTAAAAAATGAGTTATCTCCCTTTGTACAGAAATATGGTTTAACATAGTACTCTAACATTAGATATGGTCCAGAGTTATGGTCCATAACTCTGGACTAAATCATCAGACCGGAACAAAATTTAAACTTAATCTATAACTTGTCATGATAAAACTATATACCAAATATCAAATCAATATCTTCAAGAATGAAGAAAAAAAGTGTGGAAAGCTGATTTGCTGGACTGACGGATGGACAGACGGACGGAGTGCAATCCTAAAGTCCCCTTCGACTTCGTCGGTAAGGGACTAATAAATGGGGGATGTGTCCATGGGACACAGATGATGCCACCGCTTGCATATCATATAAAGTTATTAAGGGACATAACTGAAGAACGGTAAAAGTGATGCTACCCAAATTTATTATTAATCTGAGTTTTGTAGTAATATGTATTGTGTATATGTTTCATAACATTTGGTTGAGGCAAACTTAAGTTAGCGAACGGAAACGAAATATTCAGCAATTTTCCTTTTGTAAAGGGGCATAATTCTAGAACGGTAAAAGTGACACCATCGAAAATCAAACTTGATCTGTATTTTGTGGTAATAAGCATTGTGTATAAGTTTCATACCATTTGGTTGAGGCAAACTTAAGTTAGAGAACGGAAACGAAAAATTCAGCAATTTTTCCTTTTGTAAAGGGGCACAACTCTAGAACGGTTAAAGTGACACCACCAAAATTCAAACTTGATCTGTGTTGTGTGGTAATAGGCATTGTGTATAAGTTTCATAACATATGGTTGAGGCAAACTAAAGTTAGAGAACGGAAACCAACTTTGGGACGTACGGACAGACGGACAAGGGTAAAACTTAATGCCCCCTCTGCTACAGCGGGGGCATAATTAACGTGGATGTCCATATTAAGACATTGAAATTGGAAATTGATGCTTCTCCATCTGCATCCCGTGGTCTTCTTCCAACCAGCAGTAAAACCCTTGCTAAAGTGAGGCGTCTGTTTGGCTGTGCAGAATGTAATATATCAAGAAACGTTAAGTCAGATTTGGGATTTGAAATCCAATGCCTCAGGTAGAAAGAGTGCCAAGCTCTCTGCACATTAAGAACCCTTGCAACAACTATTTGAGGAGTCTGTAAGTGACCTGTTGCAAGGGTTAATTTCTGACCCTATCCAATATACTGTGGATTCATTTATTTTCGTGGGTACCAATTTTCGTGGATTGAGGAAAACTTACATTTTCGGGGATATTTGATTTTGTGGTTTTGCCAAAGTCTGCACAAATTCCTATAGAAAATTCTTGGACATTGGAATTCCTGGTTTTTTGGTAACCATGAAATCAACAAAATTTGGTATCCAACATAATCCAACGAATAATAATGAATCCACAGTACCCTTTCTTTCAGTGCCATTCCAAATTCCCGTAAAATATGCCACTTCACCCTCTATTGCAGGATCTAAATTTGGTTTTTATTATTAATTCAATCTCTTTCTGGACATGCACGAAATATTTGCCATTGGACTTAAACCATACAACAATCAATCTTCATCATCCAACAAACTTCATTTATGTGGTAGATCAAATTAGAGTTGTATCAGATATACTGAGTAAAAAAAGGTTAAGCAGCATACATTCTAATTTAAAATCTTTGAAATAAAATTTGAATTTGTCAATTAAAAATTTGCATCTGATGATTTATTTTCTTTCGTTACATTAATTGATTTATTGTTTTGTTTAGAAGTATAACTATTTTTTTAAAATCAGATATCAAAATAATTTGTTGCAAAACTCAGTATACAAAATACTGTATTTGAGAAGGAAGACATGTCCTCAATGCTGCATGTACTTTTGCAGTAAACATGTTAATATTTGACTCAGCATGTTCGTTAAGTAGAAAGCAGAGTATGTGATATGAAAATTAACATGATAGCATTCTGAAAATGTTTTAATCCTTCTTACTTACATAAAAGCTGACACATAAACATAGATTTTCTACAGTGTAAATGCAATAATATTGTACATGTATAATAACTAATTTGTTATGTTAAAAAATGTTCATAATTTAATGATTGATTTCTTACTTTGTAAAGATAAATGGTATTAAATGTCCAAGATGCATTGCTTCAGATGAAGGCCCACGACCTGTATAGAGGTAAAATGGTTTCTTCTGTTCAACAAGATTTAATATCTGGTGCATATCTCTGAAATATAAAATTGTTATGTTTTACTCATTACTACTATTTTTCCATTAAATATTAGAAGAATCAGTAGTTTCAAATAGACTATAGAAAAAGGTTGTTGGTGATGTTATGTATAACAGTATTGAAACCCTGTAACTATTATATTTCATTTCTTTCCACTGTTCACTGAATATATTTGTAATAAATGCATCAGTCTTTAACAAATGTCAGAATGTATTAAGTTGTCTGCATTGAATGATATGTGAATGATTAATTTTCAATGCCAATACTTTCGTGAAACTGACATTCATTAACTATTTTAAATTCATACATATAATTTAGTGGAATAATAACAAAACAACTCATATTAACATATTAAATCAAATAATTTTGAACATTCTGTAGACATGCATACAAATGTCTAAATGTCAGACCGTCCAACTGTCTATTGTTTGTGAATTTTCTTACTAGGACAATTTTGCTGTTGATGGATGGTACGGTATACTGTGGTATGCCATTTATATTTACATTTATATATAATATAAATATAAAAGCCCCTAAAAAAATGTTTTTCTTACTTGTGGGTGATAAAATAATACCTTACCTCTGAGAGAAAAATACTCCTCTTTTCAGAAAATGATGAGCTGGTTTTCCAGTAACATTTTCTATTCTTTTTATGAGTTCCTCATCAACCTTTGAACTTCCAAATCTCTCTGAAAATTAATACATTACACAATTAAATTATACAAAGGATCCTTCACAACAGCAAATAATCATTGTGTTTGATCTACAAGTAACTGATTTTTTTTAATCACATAATATACCTTCAAATGTATTACAACTGAAACTAGAGGCTCTAAAGAGCTCTTAAGTGTTGCTCACCTACATGTAGGTCTATGAGCATCTTCAACAATAGACACTCCTCAACATTATAGACTGGGATATTATTCATGACTAAAATCTCTTTTTTTTGTTGATCTTGTATTACTGATAATTTTTTCTCTTTAATTCTTTCCATATTCTATATGTTTGCCCAAAAGACAAAAAAGGGTAAAAAAAAATATTGTTATTTGGGGACAATAACTCCTATAAGAAGACAACTGATGATTTCAGTAATACTGACTTATTTGAATATCTTGTCTTCCTGGTCATTTTTGCTATCCATCCATTATAATTTTCAAACTAATAGGCAAAAACGCCACAAATTGGTAAAATTGTCATTAAAGGGCCATAACTCAAATCATGATTGAACTGACGATTTCAGCTATTCAACTTGGTTTTAGATCTTTTCTAAATGCTGAACATTTTATTCAAGTTTCTATCTATTTATTATAGTTTTCAAGATAATAGTACAAGTATGCTTCTGTACTGCCAGAGTCCTAAAAATAAAAAGATTATAGTAATCCCATTCCTGTTTTCCTTTTTTACAGCATTTTTTTGTAAAACAACATAAAGAAGAATACAATTTCTCACAAATTGTATATCTGAAAGTGTTTCAACTTACTTTTAAAAAGGGCATGTTACATGTTTTTTTTTATTCATGAAAGGGACACTTTATGGGAGATGTTGACAGCAGAGGGACACAAACAATTTTCTTAAGGATGTTTATCTGATGAGCTAACTACATTAACGGTATTAATTTTTCTGCACCAAAAATTTCTAGAATCAATCTTTTTTCTTAACCTGATTTTTGGGTTTCTATGACTGTAAGAAAGTAATTGATGGAGAAAAAATCATATAGTGGTGCACTTCTTTTTTTGCTACGTCCATTTGAAAGTACACAATTTTAATGATTTCCCAATTTTTACCCATTTTTGGGCTATTATCATGAAAAAATCACAGTTCTACAATTAAACTTTTTTTCATACTTTCACTACAGATGAAGTGGACCAATCTGAATAAATTTAGCTTAAAAATAAATGTGGATAGTGTCCACATGTGGACACAGATGATGCCCCCGCTTGCATATCATATAGTTATAAAGGGACATAACTGAAGAATGGTAAAAGTGACACTACCCAAATTTGAACTTGATCTGAGTTTTGTGGTAATAAGCATTGTGTGCAAGTCTCATAACATTTGGTTGAGGCTAACTTAAGTAGAGAACAGAAACTAAAAATTCAGCAATTTTTCTATTTGTAATGACGCATAACTCTAGAACGGTTGTGTATAAGTTTTACAACATTTGGTTGAGACAAACTAAAAAATTTAGCAATTTTTATGTTTATAATGGGACATAACTCTAGAATGGAAAAAGTGTTGCCACCTAATTTCGTACTTAATCTGTATTATGTAGTAATTAGCATTGTGTATAAGTTTCATAACATTTGGTTGAGGCAAACTCAAGTTAGAGAACTCAAACAAAAAAAATATACTTGATCTTTACTGAGTTTTGTTGGAATGAATATTGTGTATAGGTTTCACAATGTTTGGCTGGGGAAAACTTCAGTTACAGAATGGAAACTAAAAAATTTTGCAATCTTTCTATTTATAAAGGGGCATAACTCAATAATGGTTATAAAGTGACACTACCCAAATTCAACTTGATCTGTGTTTTATCAGTGGTAGTCAAAATTAAACATTGCATTGTATAAAGCATTGATTGTAGTTGATTCAACTATAATCATGGTCAACGGAAGATAACTCCAATTTTAAAAATATATTATATAAACTTGATATTTAGAAGAAAATAAAAATTTTGCAATTTTTCCTTTTATAAAGGGGCATAACTCTAGATCGGTTAAAGTGACACCACCAAAATTCAAACTTGATCTGTGTTTTGTGGTAATAAGCATTGTGTATAAGTTTCATAACATTTGGTTGAGGCAAACTTAAGTTAGAGAACGGAAACTAAAAATTTTGCAATATTTCCTTTTATAAAGGGGCATAACTCTAGATCGGTTAAAGCGACGCCACCAAAATTCAAACTTGATCTGTGTTTTGTGGTAATAAGCATTGTGTATAAGTTTCATAACATTTGGTTGAGCCAAACTCAAGTTAGAGAACGGAAACCAATTTCGGGACGTACGGACGGACGTACGTACGTACGTACAGACGGACAAGGGTAAAACTTAATGCCCCCTCCGGTACGGCGGGGGCATAAAAATAGAGGTAGGTGTTAATATTAGAAAGTTTTATAAAATTTTGTGGTTTTATCGTGTCAAATTGACCATGCTGTAAATTTTGTAAATTTGGGATTTTTCACTTTTTTTAGAACCAATAGCATATCATTTCAACTTCTTTGTTATAAATGATTGAAAAAATTCATATCTGAAAAATTTGAAAAGATAAAATTGATATGGGATGTACATTTTTTTGGTAAAATCATTTTCTTGTACCCTTCATCCATTTTCTCAACATTTTGGCTGATGAGACTGACTGGATTGGTTATAAAATTTGAAAATTTTATTACTAAAAAAATATTTAATTGTAAAAACACAATTTTTTCACAGAGTTTAGTTTGATTATAATATTTTTTAAATTCATTGATATTTTCCACTTGTATCACATGTTTTGGAAATAATTCCAGAACGAGATTTCAACGAGACTGAAACATCAGAAAAATACATCTTCAAGACAAATGTAACATTTCTTGTAAAGACTTGGGTTGTTAAATTATATATGCATCTTATTGTTTCTTCTTCAAATTCCTAGAAATGTAAGAAATGAACATCACATGTTCAATTAAAAATTTGTATTCATATCTTGAAAAACTTTGAGCAGATTATAGTAAAATTTAACATCTAAATGTTTGCTTCTTCTGTCCAATGTACTGCTTATTAATGCTATTTGAATGATCATCACTTTCATGATAGAAACCCCTTTATCTGTTTTCTTACACAAGAATAATCTGTCTTTTAATTTAATTAAAAACTTTTATCAGCAGCAGTTTATATTTTAAATAAATATGTAAAAGCTTTTGAACGTCAAATATCATTTATTTTATAAGGAAGGAAATTTTAAGTGAAAAAACTCCATTATATTTCTTTAAAACTTCATCAGATTTTCCCCAGATAAGTTCTTGTTTTCTCCACCTTCTCTGAGTTATATTTTATGTAATTCATATACATGTAATAGCTCAAAATTAAAAACAAGAGTGCACATACTGAAATGTCTCGCCTCCTTTACTAATCATTGATATTATGTTGATAGTCCTAAATATAAAGCTTTATTACAACTGTCACATAAACTTAACATTAACCAAGTAAACTAAACATTGACCAATGAACCATGAAAATGAGGTCAAGGTCAGATGAACCATGCTAGGCAGGCATGTACAGCTAACAATTCTTCCATACAACAAATATGGTTGACCTATTGCTTATAGTTTAAGAAAAAAAGACCAAAACACAAAAACTTAACACTGAGCAATGAACCTTGAAAATGAGGTCAAGGTCAGATGACACCTGCCAGCTAGACATGTACACCTTACAATCATTCCATACACCAAATATAATAGACCTATTGCTTACAGTATAAGAAAAACAGACCAAAACACAAAAACTTAACTATAACCACTGAACCGATGAAAATGAGGTCAAGGTCAGATGACACCTGCCAGTTGGACATGTACACCTTACAGTCCTTCCATACACCGAATATACTAGACCTATTGCTTATAGTATCTGAGATATGGACTTGACCACCAAAACTTAACCTTGTTCACTGATCCATAAAATGAGGTCGAGGTCAAGTGAAAACTGTCTGACGGGCATGAGGACCTTGCAAGGTACGCACATACCAAATATAGTTATCCTATTACTTATAATAAGAGAGAATTTAACATTAAAAAAAATGTTAACTTTTTTTTAAAGTAGTCACTGAACCATGAAAATGAGGTCAAGGACATTGGACATGTGACTGATGGAAACTTCGTAACATGAGGCATCCATATACAAAGTATGAAGCATCCAGATCTTCCACCTTCTAAAATATAAAGCTTTTAAGAAGTTAGCTAACGCCGCCACCGCCGCCGGATCACTATCCCTATGTCGAGCTTTCTGCGATAAAAGTCGCAGGCTCTACAAAAAAGTGGTAAGGGGTTCTGCGAAACCCTGTGTTTCCCCTGCAAAGTTTGTCCAAGTTTCATAACGATCCATGAACAATGATGAAGGTTTACAAATTTATCAAATAAAAAAAAATTAATCCCAAACGGTCTGTAAATGTTTACTGTAAAAACTAATTCCATCTATCAGAAAAATACTGAAAAAGAAAAAAATATATTTTCAAAAGTTTGCTTCAGACATTTATCTCTTCTGCCAAAGTTTCATAATATTGTAGGTACAAAATGTAGGTTTGACAAAGTAATTGATGTGTAAGAAACTTTAACCCTAGACAGTATCTACTTGTTAACTTTAAAAAAACTTAACCCTAGTCAGTGTATAAAACTAAGTCCATTTATCAATAAAATACGGAATAATGAAATAAATGAAATAAAACTTTTCAAAATTTTGCTCTGGATACTGTATTTTGGTCATAAACAAGCTTCTGTTCAAATATTATAAAATTCTGCGAAGTTTGACAAAGTTATTTATGTCTAAAAAGCTTTAGCTGACTGAAACTAAATAATGACGCTGGAATCTAGGATCTCTATGTATCGTTTTTCGCAACATAACTGTAGCAGGCTCTATAAAAATGATTTAAAAAACAAAATCCCCGCTTGCATATAAACCTCATAATAGAGCATAACTTGAGAATGGTAAAAGTGATGCCACCCAAATTCAAATTGATCTGTGTTTTGTGGTATTAAGCATTGTGTTTATGTTTCATATCATTTGGTTGAGGCATACTAAAAATAGAGAACGGAAAGCAATTTCAGGACGTAAGTATGGGCGGACGGACTTACGGACAAGGGTAACACTTAATGCCCCCTCAGGTGACGACAGGAACATTAAATGTACAAAGTTATTTTATAAAACAAATATCACGAATCTTACTGACAACTTAAATAGAAGGGACAAAAGGAAAAAGGCACACTGAGGCTTTATAAGTTACGAAAATGCATTAAACTTATCAAAAAAAAGACACAACACAAAAGAAAAGGGGAATTATGCCAACAATAAAAAAGAACATGACACCATGACATACTATTTTGGTTAAGATTAAAATTAATTGCTATCTTATTTTTATATACCAAAAAAATTTTCACTTCCAGTCTGTGCACATTTTTTTTCAGGATTGCATGAGCTTACAATCACAAAAGTTCTTGAAACATTTAATTTTTTGAATATCCACTGCTTGTTTACGTATAATACAGATTCACATATAAAAAGAATATTTAGGAAAATTCATGTGATAATGCAAATTTAAGTAAATGCAGATTAATAACACACCAAGTTATATACCTACATCTGTTTTTAGCAAAATAAATATTAGATTATTTATAAATTATTCTTTAATGCTAGAAAAAGATTACCTGAAACTATCAAAATTAACACTGAATATGATTTGATGTATAAGTAATATTATAACATAACCAACGTCTGGAAGCTTTACAATTATTTCATTAATTTATATGTACAGTGTTATGCAATAAGTATTCATCACCTACAGAATTTGGCTATATACATGTATTTCAGGAGACAAATAATATATGTCTGATATTTCATATACATTTGTAATAACACATTTTTCAAAAACTTATTTAGAAGGCATTTATGGGTTGGAGTTTAAGTTTAAGAAATATTACTTTTTAGATTGTGTTTTTTTTCTATCCTCAAATAAAAGGGACTATACAATTAATATCTTCTTGCACAATGATGACACTACTATTTTGAATGTACATCACACAAACATTGCCAGAAGTTCATTAACAGAAAAAGAACTTCTGACAATATTTTTCAACAGAAAAGTAACAGACGTGTACAAATGACCTACTGATCAGTTTATCATAATCTACTCCTTTGTCTGAAGAACTCGCCACTTCCCATGGATTGACAACATCCTCTTCCAAATTTTTGGTAGTCATATTTTCTACTTTTGTCTCTAAACCATTTGTTTCTTCTGTCATTTTCACAAGTCAAATGCCAATGTGTTTACATTAGTTCCACGTGTAGTCCATCATACCGGAGTAACCACGATTTCCATTGGTTTAAAGTCCCCAAATTTATGTGAACAAAATTCTGATTAGTGCAACATTACTTCCGGGTTATGATTGCATCATCAACAGTCATTATACACTATTCTACTGACAAATTTCAATTGATTGCATCAAGGATTTGTTACTATACAAATCCTTGATTGCACCAAGTTGAATTATACCAATTAAGAATAAGATAACAAACTTTGAACTCTGAAATAAATATTTCACGAGGTAGTGTAGTATATACCTTCTTCTTCTTCTATTGCATGGATATCCTTCCATTCATGAAACACCACATACAGCTCTGTATGTGTATTGAAATGTGTCACACAATTTTAAAATTTATTTATACTAATAAATTTAAAATCTAAAAGGACACTTTTAAACAGTATAAATAGGGGGAATTAATTTTAAAATTTATATATACGACTAAATTTAAAATCTAAGAGGATACTTTTGTACTGTAAAAGTTAAACGGGAATAAACTTAAAATCTACAAGGATACTTTATACAGTATAAGTTAAGCGGGAAGAATACCCTGTCTCTCCCTGTTTATCTGTCTATATACATACATACAAAAATTTGGCAAAGCACTGTTCAGTAGCCACATTATATACAATGTCAGTTTATGATCATCTCCTTGTATCCTATATATCTGAGTTATTACTTTAAAAGTCTGATTCTATGTGTATGAAGTTTATAGCATAGACTTGCCGAAAGATTATGGATATTGATAATGTCCTCCTTCTTGAATAATGCACAGAAGTGGCTACAGTCGATTACAAGGTGTACAATATCTTGTTTCTTTGAGAAAGTGTTTTTCCAAGTTTGTGGCCCAATGATGTTTATTGTATACATTTTCAGTTCTTGAAAAGCTTCTTTTCTTTGCTTAAATAGAGCCGGACAGTCTAGCAAGAAATGAATCTCATCTTCATCGCTCAATCCACAGCATTTACAAGTAGGTGCTTCCTTTCCTCCAGAATATTTATATTTTAGACTTTGTAAGAGATATGTTCCAGTAATTAGTCGTGCTTTTACAGTGCCTTTTTTTATATCTGAGATAGTTGAATTTAGACTGCTCCAGGATGGGTGAGTGGATCCAAAGGTTAGGCAGTTTTGACTTAAATGTTTTAAGGTAGATTTTTGTGATATATCAGATTTTAATTTTTGTGTCCAGAACTCTCGGATAGATGATTTGACTGTAGATTTCCACGATAGTTTAGTGGGCAAGCGTTGTTGGAGAGCAGTTATCTCTGGTAGTTGATATATTGATAGAAGCGGTTGGATCCTGTTAAAGAAGCTTATTGGATTTTGCATATTCATGAGGATTTGACGCTCAGAGAGATCCCTAATTGTACTGTTTTCGCATGAAAGTATATTATGGAGGAATGTCAGTTGCCTTTTGTGTATTTCTGCCTCAAGGGGCAATGCTCCGATAAGTAATAATACTGCACAGTTTGCTGTCCTGATAGGTAGAGATTGGAAGCTTTTCAAGTTCTTTAAATGAAATATATTTAATTTGTCCATCTGGGAATTGTTTAGTGGTAAAATTTCCAATCCATAAATCAGTCTTGGTAAAACATAGCACTGGTAGATTTTATAAGATGTTGCCGGGTTTAATCCATTAGTTCCATGTACTCCGGTTTTAATAAGAGAATAAAGTGTTCTCCTGGCTATGCTCATTCTAGCATCAATATTAAGGTCGTTTTCTTTTAGTTTTGATCTTATGATTCCCAGATGGGTTGTTTCTTTGGAAGGATATATGGTGGTGTTGTCCAATGTCCAACTTAGTGTTGATCTATCCATTTTTGCGGATTTATTGAGAATGACAGCTTTAGTTTTTTCAGGGTGCAGCGTTACCAGGGTCGCTACTCAAGAAAGCAATATCGTCTGCACATGTTGGGCAGCCTACGTAGGTTGTTCCAATTTTTAATCCGATATTATGTGTTTTTAGGTCCTCAAGGAGGTCATTCACATACATTTTATATAGAAAGGGTGACAGTACTCCTCCTTGTCTTACTCCTTGTTTGATGCCAAAAGAGTGGCTGAGGATACCTTTCCATTTGACTTTTGATGTACATTTTGTAAGACCTAAATAGAAATCCTTGATAACTGTCCATAATGAGCTATTTGGAATATTTTCATAGAATTTGTCCATCATTATAATGTGGTCTACTACATCAAACGCTTTTTATACGACCGCAAAAATTGAAAATTTTTTGGTCGTATATTGGTATGACGTTGGCGTCGTCGTCGTTGTCCGGCGTCGTCGTCGTCCGGCGTCGTCCGAAGACACATTGGTTTTCGCACTCTAACTTTAGTTTAAGTGAATGAATCTCCATGAAATTTTACCATAAGGTTCAATACCATGAAAGGAAGGTTGGGATTGATTTTGGGGGTTATGGTACCAACAGTTAAGGAATTAGGGGCCAAAAAGGGGCCAACAATAAGCATTTTTGTAACTTCCAGACAATAACTTGTGTGTAAGTGTATGGATCTCTCTGACATTGTACCACAAGGTTCCATATCACAAAGGGAAGGCTGTAATTGATTTTGGGGGTAATTGCCTCAAAATGTTAGGAATTAGGGGCCAAAAAAGGGGCAAAAAACAAGCATTTTTCTAGTTTCATGACAATAACTTATGTGTAAGTGTTTGGATATTTCTGAAATTGTACTACAAGGTTCCATATCACAAAGGGAAAGCTGGAATTGAGTTTGGGGGTAATTGCCCGAAACGTTTAGGAATTGGGGGCCAAAAAGGGGCCAAAAATAAGCATTTTTCTAGTTTCCAGACAATAACTTGTGTTCAAGTGTATGGATCTCTCTGAAATTGTACTGCAAGGTACCATACCACAAAGGGAAGGCTGAGATTGAGTTGGGGGGTGATGAATCATAAGGGGGTTCAAAAAATTTGGGGGGGGGATTTTTTTTTTTCTTTTTTTTTTCTTTTTTTCCTTTTTTTTTTCTTTTAAAATTTTCCATTTTAAGTTGGTTACTTCTGATTTATATTTAAAAGCAAATAATAATGATATGGTAGGAGATGCACACCAAACAGGATGTGTAAATTATTATATAATAAGTATTTTGCAATAGCAAGAAATTTTCAATTGCACAGTATTGCACAATAGCAAGAAATCTTCAATTGCACAGTATTGCGCAATAGCAAGAAATCTTCAATTGCACAGTATTGCGCAATAGCAAGAAATATCCAATAGCACAATATTGCGCAATAGCAAGAAATTGTCAATTGTACAGTATTGCGCAATAGCAAGAAATAATCAATTGCACAGTATTGTGCAAAAGAAGATACTTCGTATAAATTGCTTATTTCTTGATCAATTTCAATGGGGTTTTATTCTTGAATTCTTGGGGTTCTTTAATATGCTGAATCTAACCGTGTATTAAGTTTTTGGATTTTGGGCCCCGTTTTTAAATTGGTCCACATTGAGGTCCAAAGGGTCCAAAATTTAACTTTGTTTGATTTCATCAAAAATTGAATTATTGGGGTTCTTTGATATGCCGAATCTAACCGTGTATTTAGATTCTTAATTTTTGGTTCTGTTTTCAAATTGGTCTACATAAAGGTCCAAAGGGTCCAAAATTAAACTTAGTTTGATTTCAACAAAAATTGAATATATGGGGTTCTTTGATATGATGAATCTAACCATGTATTTAGATTTTTGATTATGGGCCCAGTTTTCAAGTTGGTCCAAATCGGGGTCCAAAATTAAACTTTGTTTGATTTCAACAAAAATTGAATATATGGGGTTCTTTGATATGCTGAATCTAACCATGTATTTAGATTTTTGATTATGGGCCCAGTTTTCAAGTTGGTCCAAATCGGGGTCCAAAATTAAACTTTGTTTGATTTCAACAAAAATTGAATATATGGGGTTCTTTGATATGCTGAATCTAACCATGTATTTAGATTTTTGATTGTTGGGCCCCGTTATCAACTTTGTCCACATTGAGATCAAAAGGGTCCAAAATTAAACTTTGTTTGAATTCATCAAAAATTGAATATGTGGGGTTCTTTGATATGCTGAATCTAACCATGTATTTAGATTTTTGATTATGGGCCCAGTTTTCAAGTTGGTCCAAATCGGGGTCCAAAATTAAACTTTGTTTGATTTCAACAAAAATTGAATATATGGGGTTCTTTGATATGCTGAATCTAACCATGTATTTAGATTTTTGATTATGGGCCCAGTTTTCAAGTTGGTCCAAATCGGGGTCCAAAATTTAACTTTGTTTGATTTCAACAAAAATTGAATATATGGGGTTCTTTGATATGCTGAATCTAACCGTGTATTAAGTTTTTGGATTTTGGGCCCCGTTTTTAAATTGGTCCACATTGAAGTCCAAAGGGTCCAAAATTTAACTTTGTTTGATTTCATCAAAAATTGAATTATTGGGGTTCTTTGATATGCTGAATCTAACCGTGTATTTAGATTCTTAATTTTTGGTTCCGTTTTCAAATTGGTCTACATAAAGGTCCAAAGGGTCCAAAATTAAACTTAGTTTGATTTAAACAAAAATTGAATTTTTAGGGTTCTTTGATATGCTGAATCTAAACATGTATTTAGATTTTTGATTATGGGCCCAGTTTTCAAGTTGGTCCAAATCGGGGTCCAAAATTAAACTTTGTTTGATTTCAACAAAAATTGAATATATGGGGTTCTTTGATATGCTGAATCTAACCATGTATTTAGATTTTTGATTTTTGGGCCCTGTTATCATTTTTGTCCACATTGAGATCAAAAGGGTCCAAAATTAAACTTTGTTTGATTTCATCAAAAATTGAATTCTTGGGGTTCTTTGATATGCTGAATCTAACCATGTATTTAGATTTTGGATATTGGACCATAATAGGTGAATGTCCAATTTAAAATTTTTAAGTTCTTAGACCACATTCATTCTGTGTCAGAAACCTATGCTGTGTCAAATATTTAATCACAATCCAAATTCAGAGCTGTATCAAGCTTGAATGTTGTGTCCATACTTGCCCCAACTGTTCAGGGTTTGACCTCTGCGGTCGTATCAAGCTGCGCCCTGCGGAGCATTTTATTTACTATCTACTGTCATGAGAAATAATGAATCTAATGTTGTATGTTTGGATTCAGCTCACGCTTCATTGATGATAAAAGCGGCCATTAGCATGCAAAGTCCCTCTGTAAAGCCAAATTGGAGAGTAGAAAGCAAGAAGATTTTGGAAAGACCTGGGAGGATGGAACTTTCAAAGAGCTTGGAGATAATAGGCGTCACTGTAATGCCTCTGTAATTGTCCATAATAGATGCTTCTTTTCCATTTTTCAATACTGGTGTAAGAATTCCAGATTTGAGATTGCCAGGGACTTTTCGTTCTTTCAGAATTTTTCCAAACAGGTTTGTGAGAAACGTTGTAACAGAGTACGGAGAATTTTTAAGATGTTCAGATGAGATTCCAAATTCATCCGCAGCTTTTCTACAATTGAGTTTTTTTATCGCTGTAGATATCACATCTGACGTGATGTCCAGAGGTTCAGAGCAGGATTGTTCCTCGTATTGCTGTATGAGTGAGTGGCGCACATTACAGAGTTCCTGAAAATCATTATCATAATTGTTGTCCTTAGGGATGGCCAAGTCTTCAAAGTACTGTGCAAAACATCTGGTTTGCTCATCTGTATTGTATAAATTTTGATTGTTGGAAGAGATATATGAAGCTTGGCTATTGCGGTTTGCCCTATTCATTCTAATTAATCTATGAAATTTTTCTGAATCCGGGTTATCCATCAGCTCTTTATAAAAGTTTTCTTTTTCTGTATATTGCTCCCTACGCATTTGGCGTCGCAAGTTTCTTTGAGCGATGATTTTATCTGATTTTAAAGAGTCTTCTTTACTTCCATTTTGTTTCCATAGCCAGTGTTTCTCCTTTGCGGTTTTCAAAAGGTTGATTACTTCTTGGGAGCCTCTCCTTTTAGGTCCGGATAATTTCAATTTTTTAGATGGTACAGCAGATGTTGCAGCTTGTATTAAAGTTTCACATAAAAAGACCACATCTTTTTCAGATGAGTTAGAGAGTTGTTGGTAATTATTTATTTTAACTTCTATAATGTTTTGAAAATTTTCTAGATCGATTTTGTTCCAAACTGGTTTTTGAGTTACTGACTTCTTCTGGTTAGTATACTGTTTATCTCGCTCAAGTACCACTGTGAAAGTTGCTGAAACCGGAACATGGCTAGAGATGTTTTCCATACATCTGTCGTGGATTATGTAGTTGCAAAGTGATCCTTCAGTGGAGTTGTCAAGAATGTAATCGATTTGAGATGTAGCATCCCAAGCGTGGTGGAAAAAGGTTTGCTTGTCTGATGGATATACGTTGAGCTTCATTTCCTTAATAAAAGATTGCAAGAGCTTGTCGTGCTTGTTGCTTTTTCGGGGTGACAATAATATTCCATTTAGATCACCTAACAATAGAATTTGGTGAGATTCAGAATATGTTGAGATAATGGAGTTTATAATATCCAGGCATTCCATATATTCAATATACGAGTCTTTAGAATTATTAGATGGCATATATGCACCGATAATGCAGATGTTGCAAGGAGAAGTAATCTCTACAGCTAGAATTCTTTCATTTCCCTCGTTGATTTCTTTTATCTTGTGCGATAAGTGTTCTTTCCAGGCAATTGCAACTCCACCTTTTCCTCTTGGCAAATTAAAGTTGTGGATGTTGTCGTAGGTGTCACTACATCGTATAGCATAATCCATATTTGGAAGTATTTCCCCTAAAGATTGTTTTTGACATTCGTATAGCCAATGTTCTTGTATGCAAATGATGTCCGACGTTTTTTCAAGACTTGATAAAAATAGAGAATTCCCTTTTCCTTCCATGTTGCAAGACAATATATTTATGGGAAGGTTCTGTGACTGCCCTTCTGTACCATTTCTAGAGATTTATAACTTCTGAAATGTGTATGACTTAGCTTAATTATGAGTATTCTTACTCTTAAGATTTTTTTGTGAAAAGAGTCGCTGAACCTAAACTAGAAAAAATGAGATATATCCAACTTCCAAGTCAAATAACACCAAACAGTTGATAAGCATTTTAGCTGAACTGAATTATATGGAATTCTTATGAAAAGTAACTATAAAATCAAATCAAACAATTTTATTGGTGTAAATTCCAATACAGGAATGATACCAGCTGAAATTTACAAAATACAAAAACAGACAAAAATAAACAAAAAACAAATATACAGAGATATATTTTCTCAATGATAAGAGACACATATTTTATATCTACATTGCGTGTAGGTGTTATTTATACTATATTATCACTTCAAGCTATTACAATAAGCTTTAATACTACAACAGTTCTTAACAACATTATGTTTGCTTTAAATGAATGTTAGAATCATACATATCGCTTATTCCAGCTACACATACAGTACAAATGTCAGTATCATTCATGTCATTACTTTTCAAAATAAAACTAAATTTATCTTGTTCAGACATATTAACAAAAGATGGATCTATATCACTTAAATTACAAAAGAGTATATTTCTATTAAATTCTAACGCTTTACATTTAATGAGGAAATGGAATTCATCTTCAAAAGTGGACAAATTCTCTGTTCTAAAGGCGTTCTAGTATATCTACCAACTTCTATTAGTAATTTGCTATTACTAATTCTAATTTTTACCATTTTAGAAATTAAAATTTTTGTTAAGGTCCAGTAGGAGATATTTTTCTAATTCGTAATTATTTTTAACTTTGCGATACGTTCCTAAATTATGTTTATAACCATGACTATCTTTATTAGAGTCACAAAAAAGAGCTTGTTTCCAGGATTTTTTGAATTCCTCCTCTAATTTCTTTTGAACTGAAAAAAGTAATTTTGTCTTTGACTATAACTATAAGCTTTTAGCAATATAATACTATATTTATATTAGCATAAAGCAAACACCAATAAATGAATTCTAACATATAATTAAGCAAAAGATACAGCAAAATATTTAGAAAACACAAAAACAATATAGAATAACTAAAGCTATCTAAGGTCAATGTTGACTGTGGCACAGTGGAAGTTGCAAATCAATATTAAATTCCATAAAACAAATATTAGAAAAAAAGAAACTAGCAGCAGAGATTATTTCAATACTGGGATCTGCTCTATTATATGTCCCAGATTAAAAGCAAGTTAAAAATCAAATTTATATTACTGTAAATTCAGAAATTATTGCGAGGTTTTTATTAATGCGAATAATGCGAATGAATGAGTATCGCAATAATAAAAATTCGCATTCTGATATTTGATACATATAACACATTTTAGTCCATTCTTCAAAATTCGCAATAATAAATGCACGCAATAATTTCTGAATTTACAGTACTAAAAGTTTCTCTGATTGTCATCATATTGTTTTTTCTTGAGAAAATAGATTAAAGTTACAGAAATCATACTTGAAAATGTGTAAAACATTTGTCTTCCAATTATTGCACAGAGCACATTGGTAAGGAAATTGTAACTGCACTAAATTACTTTATTTATCAGTTTTCAATAGATATTATGCAAACTTTTCAAAGCCAATATTCATTAGTGATAAATTTTAAGTAATTTAGATATGAACTCAATAAAACTAATAAATTCAATCAATCTTTGCTTGGTCATGGTTGCTTACTGTCTATCAGCTTTTATTTTGCCTATTTAGTGGTGTAAATAGTATGTAAAAAAGATCTATCTGTGCTTTAGATATTCACTCTTTCATTAGAACACCTTGTTCATACTTTATTGATTACTTTATGTTTTTAAGAAATACAAAAAATATACAATTCCTATTTTTTTAATTTCTTAAAGTATCATTATACATTTTGTAGATGGAAGCATTAAAAAATTATGATGATGACAGTGATGATAGTTATTCTGATGATTACAAAGATAATTTCCAAACTAAAAATTGTGGGGAAAGGATAAAAGATGATGGCTTATCCATTATAAAAGATTCATCAAGGGTATATGTACAAAAACTCAAACATGATTTCTTTAACTTACAAGAATCGGATAGTGACCATGAACCTGAAACAAAATCTAAGATCAGAAAGAAGGAAAATATAGAAATTATTGTGAGTAGTGGTGACACTATAACTGTTCCAGAAGGCTGTTTCTGGGAACCTTTACCTACAGAGGTCAAACAGTCAAATGATTTTGATATAAATCAGTCTATAGAAAAAGAATGCTACAGGGAATTAGATTTTAGTCATACTTATGATCAGATGTCTGCTAGTGATTATAGGAAGAGTTACAAAAATAAAAAATTAATTAAGACTGATTCAAACAAAATTAATTGGAACAACTCTGAAAATTCTAATACATCTTCTAGAAGAAATAATATTAAAAATTTCAATGAAGCAAATGAAGTAGATCAAAAATTAAATAATGATGATAAAAATTGCAACATTTATTCTGGTAAATCTGACAAACCATCTATAAAATTATTTGATATCCATGGAAAAATAAAACCATGGTTACAAAGACAAAACCTTATTTGTAAAATTCCAAGGGAATGTGAAAAATCTTGGAAAGCTCATACTGGTTCTGTCAGCACTTTAAAATGGAATGTTACAAAATTCAGCCATTTATTGTTGTCTGTTTCTATGGATACCACAGTTAAAATATGGAATGTTTGGAACCGACTAGAGCCTTGTGTTCGCTTACTGAACATACACAGTAAAGGTATTCAAGATGGTGATTGGAATAATTCTGGAACACATATCTTAACCTGCAGTTATGACAAGTCAGCTGTTGTAACAGATATTGAAACAGGCATGTACAATAAAAACTATAGTGTTCTTTCACAACATCACTTAATCTTCACATGACATTTATATTATAAGAAATTCTAAATGTTATACTGTAAATTCATAGATTATTGCATGCATTTAGTATTTTGATTTTTGAAAAATGGACAAAGTTGCAAGATTGATTATTGTGATTTGAGCAAAAGTTGGATACAGATATACATGTATGTATCAGATATCAGAATGTGAGTTCTTATTATTGTGATTATCACCCAGTCACATTATTCACATTAATCACATGTTAATAAACTTGCAACTATTTCTGAATTTACAGTATTGTCTCTTTTGCAGGTGTATCTACTGTGAAATGTAAGCATAGGAATTTTGTAACATGTGGAAAGTTTCATCCAGTCAATGAAAATATTTTCCTTACTGGTTCACTTGATGAACTAACAGCATGGGATACCAGACAAGGTGATGAACCAATCCATAGATATAGCTACAAAGACAAAATAGGACAGGTATATCAGAACATACAAAGTAATGCATATAGTTATTATTTAAATTATTTATGTAGTTAGAAACTTATTTCTTTTCTGCTTATACCTTTTTGGTTTTGAAGTTCCCAAAAGTTTGATGTATTTGCATGGCTTCTCATACTAGTGTTTAAGTGTACTACCAAATGGAGGTAGTTCATACACACTCAAAATGGTACAATATATCATACATTTATATCTAAACTAAATAAGTACAGGATACTTTCTTTTAATTTTTATTTTGTAATTGTATGTGTATCACTGGTGATTTAAACAATTTACTACATTTTTCTAATAGATGTCAAAATTACTTTTACATTCTAGAAAGAGTAATATGAGGTAAATGCACCTGAGACGATATTGTGAAGATCTTTTGGAAATAGTCATTTATTAAAGGAAGAGCTCTTTTATTGTTGTTGCTGTTCATCTTCACAGTTACTTTATGGTCCTCAACAATATTGCCCAAGAACTTACATCTAAAACAAGATCAGTCCTTATAACTCAAACATAAGGATTGCTTTAAATGCTTCACCACAGCATTAGCATTAGATAACATTCCAAAAGTATACTCAGAAATAGCATAAAGTAAAAGGAATGAATAATTTATTGTATGTGCTTTTTTAATTCAGATACAAGATGTTATCTTCAGTATTGATGGAAGTGAGTTTTTTTCTACAGGAGACCTTGTAAGCCGCGATTCAGCTGACAGAAATATCATGGCTTGGGACTTTGATTATGCTGTGGTAAAATCAAACCAGATATATCAGGTTAGAATGTTGATTGTTCTCATGAAAAAAAAATATTAAAGCACAAAATGAAAATACCAGTGAACATGAAAAAAAAAATCAAATAGTAGGGGCCCTATTAGGGCTTTATTGAAACCTACTCCTTTGGTTTCATTTGTTCTAGTGGTTTCAGAGAAGATTTTTTCTAATGTTTACACATTGGAAATACAGTGGCCAAGAAATAGTTGTACCATAGTCAAAATTATTGTCTAGATTCAGGGGCGGATCCAGCCATTTTTAAAAGGGGGGTTCCAACCATATGTCCCCATTTAAATGCATTGATCATCCTAAAAAAGGGGGGTTCCAACCCCTGGAACCCCCCCCCCTGGATCTGCCACTGAGATTGTAATTTTCTTTTCTCAAAATGAGATTGAAAATAATGTTGCTTTTTAGTTTGCCACCCTTGTTTTTTTGACACTCAACCCACCTGAAAAATGGCTTTTAGTAGACTTTTAAATTTGATTCTTTTTTTTTCTGTAACATTTTATAGAAAAAATATATACCGGTATATTCCAACAGCACCAAATAAATAACTTTGAAGCATTATACAATATACATATTTTGAGTAAATGCTCCTCTTATATGTGTATAAGTTGATATGCATATTAGAGGGTAGGAACGCCCTCTACCGTCAGGTGTCAAACGGTCATTTTCTGCTACCGTTAGCGTCAAATTGGTTAATATTTTATTGTGATTCGTCAGAGGTCTCAAATATTATCCGTTACCGTTATTTTTGGTAAGAATTGATTCGTCAAAATCAGTGGATTTTTCATGTACATTTTACCGTCATGCACCAAAAATTTGGCAAGATTTTTTAACGTTATTCGTCATGAAGGTACCCCCATTACGAACCTCATATAATTATACATGTATAAAGCTATAAACTTGTAAAATTTTTGATTTTGTTGTTGTAGGAAAGATACAGTTGTACATGTCTGAAGATGCATCCAACAGAGTTCAACTTCCTAGCTCAGTCACATGGAAATTATATAGCATCATTCTCTGCATCTAGACCATACAAGATGTGTAAAAGTATAAGATATGAAGGACACAAAGTAATCACATTATTATAATCATTATTATACTTGCAAATCATTCATATATTGCCATAATGGTCAATGGTCAAAAAGATTGCCAATGAGACAACTTTCCACCAGAGACCAAATGACGTAGAAGTTAGCAACTGTAGTCATTCAGCCTTCAACAATGAGTAAATCCCATACATGTACTGCATAGCTAGCTATAAAAATCACAGACATGACAAATGTACAACAATATATTAACATCTTATTTTTCCTTATGCTTGGTATTCATTTGGAAATTTCATCTGTCAGCAGGGCCACCCTTAACAAATTCTTTGTTTGATGTTGCCTACCCATGCCTGACAAGTTTGGGTAGGTAGGTAGGGATTTTATTTCTTTTTTGGCCAACAACACGAGTTACATGTTTTAGACAAGAAAACAATGTTAGAGCATGAATGCAAATACTTGCGGTATTTTTAAACATACCAAATATTAGTGTACTAAAAGATAGTTTAAAGAAGGGTCAATATAGCATTGAAATTACAGTTAAGTAATGGTCACATAAATGAATGCCAACATACTTATGCCATACAAAATTCCTAGTATCAATGATGTTGTCATTATAGCATCATAATTTCAGCCAACCTAAATTCTCACATTTTTTTATATAGAATATACCAGCCATGTGCATGGCTCAACAGGATTTCATGTTAAAATTTGTTACTGACCCATATATATCATTCTGTATCATCAGTTATTTGATCCAAGAGTGTGGCTTATATCTTCTGTGGAGAAAAATAAACCTTGAAATGTACTAAAACTATTAATTTGATGAAACCAGAAATGATATCCTACTTTCGAAAGATGAAAATTAATGCTACATTTCTGATGAATTATTTGTTTTGTCTTGCAGCTTGGAGGATACAAAGTAGGATTTGATATGTCGCCAGATGGAAGATATATTGTTAGTGGAGATTCTGAAGGGAAATTATACTGTTACAATTACAAAAGTGGACATTTAATCCAGACTTTACATACTCAATTAGATGTTAACCTTAATGTAGCTTTTCATCCATTATTACCATCTACATTGGCTTGTTGTGGATGGAATGGTTTTATAGAATTATGGCATTAAAATATGTTTAGTTATCAGCTTCTTTTTATTTAATTTCAAAAGTAATATGTTAGTGTATAAAAAATGAGAAATTGGTTATACAGTAAGAATGATTACTAATAAATAGAGGTTCTTGAGAGGCTGTTTTGTTTATCTGACCAAATGTCAAAATTCACAATTTAATGCAATCAAATCTTATCAATTTCTCTTAAGTTTGACAACATTTGAATATTGATTTTGGAACGTACTAGAGCCAGACAGCTTAAAACTGTTTCCCCACAATAACTTGAGAACTGTTCAACCAATCCTTTTTAATTTCTTATGACAAAATTGAGGTTAAGATTGATATTGCTGATTTTCAATTTGACTACATGTATTCAGGAATTATGGTCCTTGATTGATGGAAAATAGTGCTTTTGTGTTGTTTTTTGTGTGATTACTCGAGAACTGTGTAGCCATACTTTTTAGACTTTTATATGTGTTGTTTTTCATTACAAAATTGAGGTAAATTTCAATTAATTACCAACTTTTCTTTTGTCTTTCAGGAGTTATGGTCTTTGATTAATTGTAAAATGCAACTTTATGCCTTTCTACATAATAATTTGAAAACTGTTGAACCAATCCCTTTTAAATTTAATATGCTGCTTCCCATGACTAAATGGAGGTCAAGATCTATTTTGATGATTTTCTCTTTGCTGCTGAGGAGTAAAGGTACTGAATTGATTATAGAACATGGCCTTATTCAACCAATTTTTTTTCAAATGTTAATGTTGTTTTTGATGTTAAATGAGGCCATGTGTGTTTTTGACTATTTCTTATTAGGCTAATGTGATTGAAGTTGTGGCCCTTAATTTTTAAATCAATGACACTTGATTTAATACACATAAGGATAACCAGGTTTGCTGTCATTTTACAGTGTTTTTTGTGTTGTGATTTTATAATCAATCAGAATTTGTAAAAACCTCTGGCTATGATTGGAGCTTCCTATTTTTTTCTTAAGATAAATCCACATATATTTCATTATATCTGCTAAGTTCAGTTCTGTCTAGTCATATGTCTTTCTGAGATTTCCATAGGCATCAATGCAAACCTATGTTGCATCAATACTGCCATGAATGTCAACAACAAACATCAATAAAGCCTTTAGATTTTTAGCTTCAATGGAAGAGAAAATTGAAAATTCATCTATGAGAATCAGAACTTGCCTCTGGATGCCATGTTTTTTTGCTGGATCAGAATGAAATGAAATAAATAAAAAGTCCTTGCAATCATTATTTTTGAACATTAAGTTCGGATCATTTTCTTGTCAAGAGATCATATTCTGCTATTATGTTACTCTTATTTCCACTTTGAATTGATCAAAGTTTTTGTTGCAGTTAGTTGACATGAATAATAATCATTAATACGATCAACTGCTTGAATCATTTTTGTCGAGTCAGAAAGTGAGAGAGGGATAGTGATGTGGTGGCGGCATTAACAAACTTCTTTAAAGCTAATATTTCAGAAGGTAGAAGACCTGGATCCTTCATACTTTGTATATATTTGCCTTATGTTATGAAACTTCCATCTGTTATATGTCCATTGTCCTTGACCTCATTTTCATGGTTCAGTGACTACTTGGAAAAAAAAGGTTTTTAGTATTCTTGATATCTCTCTTATTATGAGTAATAGGATAACTATATTTTGAATGTGCATACCTTGCAAGGTCCTCATGCCTGTCGGACAGTTTTGATTTGACCTTAACCTCATTTCATGGATCAGTGAACAAGGTTAAGTTTTCGTGGTCAAGTGCATATCTCAGATACTATAAGCAATAGGTCTACTATATTTGGTGTATGGAATGATTGTAAGGTGTACATGTCCAACTGACAGGTGTCATCTGACCTTGACCTCATTTTCATGGTTGAGTGGTTCAAGTTAAGTTTTTGTGTTTTGATCTGTTTTTTTAATACTGTATGCAATAGGTCAACTATATTTGGTGTATGAAAATATTTTAAGATGTACATGTCAGTCTCAATGTTAAGTTTTAATACGACCGCAAAAAATTTTTTGTGGTCGTATATTGGTATGACGTTGGTGTCGTCATCGTAGTCGTCGTCCGGCGTCGCCGTCCGAAGACACATTAGTTTACCATAAGTTTAATACCACAAAAGGAAGGTGGGGATTGATTTTGGGGGTTATGGTACCAACACTTAAGGAATTAGGGGCCAAAAAGGGGCCAAAAATAAGCATTTTTGTAACTTCCAGACATAACTTGTGTGTAAGTGTATGGATCTCTCTGACATTGTACCACAAGGTTTCATATCACAAAGGGAATGCTGGGATTGATTTTGGGGGTAATTGCCTCCAAATTTTAGGAATTAGAGGCCAAAAAGGGGCAAAAAACAAGCATTTTTCTAGATTCATGACAATAACTTGTGTGTAAGTGTATGGATCTTTATGAAATTGTACTACAAGGTTCCATATCACAAAGGGAAAGCTGGAATTGAGTTTTGGGGTAATTGCCCAAAAAGTTTAGGAATAAGGGGCCAACATGGGGCCAAAAATTAGCATTTTTCTAGTTTCCAGACAATAACTTGTGTTCAAGTGTATGGATCTCTCTGAAATTGTACTGCAAGGTACCATACCACAAAGGGAAGGCTGGGATTGATTTTTGGGGTAATTCTCTCAAAATTTTAGTAATTAGGGGCCATAAAAGGGCAAAAAACAAGCATTTTTCTAGTTTTATGACAATAACTTGTAAGTGTATGGATCTTTATGAAACTGTACTGCAAGGTTCCATATCACAAAGGGAAAGCTGGGTTTGAGTTTGGGGGTAATTGCCCGAAACGTTTAGGAATTTGGGGCCAAAAAGGGGCAAAAAAACAAGCATTTTTCTAGTTTCCAGACAATAACTTGTGTTCAAGTGTATGGATCTCTCTGAAATTGTACTGCAAGGTACCATACCACAAAGTGAAGGCTGAGATTGAGTTTGGGGGTGATGAATCATAAGGGGGTTCAAAAAATTTGGGGGGGGGGGGGGATTTTTTTTTCTTTAAAATATTCCATTTTAAATTGGTTATTTCTGATTTATATATAAAAGCAAATAATAATGATATGGTTTGAATAGGTAAATTAAAAAATTTTAAGTTCTTAGACCACTTTCATTCTATGTCAGAAACCTATGCTGTGTCAAATATTTAATTACAATCCAAATTCAGTGCTGTATCAAGCTTGAGTGTTGTGTCCATACTTGCCCCAACTGTTCAGGGTTCGACCCCTGCGGTCGTATCAAGCTGTGCCCCAGCGGAGCATTTTATTGTGTTTTGGTCTGTTTTTCTTGACCTCATTTTCATGGTTCATTGATCAATGTTAAGTTTTCCTGGTTAAGTTTGTTTCATAGATACTATGTACAATAGGTCAACTATATTTAAAGCATAGAATGATTGTAAGGTGTACATGACTGTCTGGCAGAGTTCATCTGACCTTGACCTCATTTTCATGGTTCTTTGCTCAGTATAAAGTTTTTATGGTTTGGTCTGTTTCTTGTATACTATAAGCAATAGATCAACTATATTTGGTGTATGGAATGATTTTAAGGTGTACATGTATTTCCAGCTTGGTTTATCTGACCTTGACCTCATTTTCTTTGATCATGTTAAGTTTATGTGATACTTGTAGTAAAACTTTATATTTAGGACTATCAACATAAAATCAATGGTCAGCAAAGCAGGCGAGACATTTCAGCGTGTGCACTCTTGTTTTCCATTCTATTTGTTCCTGTAGAATGCATCAAATAATAAAAAGCTCAAAGCAATAATGAAAAAGACCAATTTAATTTAATTTTTTATTATTTTCCTTCAAAATGTAACATGCAAATATACATATAATTAAAATATGAAAAACATGGTCATTACAAATTAATTTGGGTAGGTAAGAACCCTGTCAATAAATTAACCTCATTTACATATACAATTAAATGACCTCTTTTCTGCACAACATATAAATCTATGATTCTTAAGTGTCTAAACATTGTTCTCAACATTAGTCAACCTTATTGACAAGGATCTTGTCATCTATCATCTACACAAACCACTTCACTAATACGATACAATACCACACATAGGTTTGGGTAGTATTGTTGTTTTACATGAGCTTGTTACTGATCATGCGTAATTTTTTCCCAAAAAACAAGCATCAGGGTACAAGCTTAACACAATTTATCCATTACTGAGGCCATTTTGAATTTTCAATCAGTAGAAAAGTAGCATTAATTGGTTTAACCAATAAATTAAGACTCAGAAAATCAGAATCAAGAATATTCTTTCATGGTTATGTTTTTCATTTAATTTTAACAAAATGAAGAATTTTATTTACCACAATCCTACAGAATTAGCAATATTTCTTTACATCTGACTATCATATTACATTGTACTTATGATATTTGCTCTCTTGTAAATTTTTTAAGCTTATTTTTTGGTTCCCTTTTGGATCTAAAGAAAATACTTCATTTATATAAAAAAAACCAAAAAAACACACACACACACAACAAAATCACGACATGTTTATTCAGTCAGAGATTTTTTTTCTCTACTTCTTCAAGGATTTGTTTTGTGATCACAATATCTATTGTCTATACAAATCCTTGATTTCTTGGGAAAAAAAACCTTTTACCCATTGCAATCTTGTTTGCTTAACCAAAAAAGCAGATCACTACGAAATTTTACAAATATATATATTTGCCCTATACTTTTTGAACTTGCATTTGAGAGTATTTTACTTGCATAATTTTAAAGGTAGATACCAGCCCAATTTTAAAACTATCAAGTCCACAATTTTTCATTTTGTCACTTATGAAGTCTATAGTTTTTTTTTTAAAAACAAAATAGAGTAGCAATACAAAATTTCTTTGACAATTTCTAATATTAATCCTCAAAATTTTAAACTTGAAAAATTTATTATATTTATGATTTTATTTTAAATAATTTCATACATAAATATTTTAAAATCTATAGATGTATGACAATTCAATGTTTCATTATATTACTATCGGTAAGCCAACTGCCCATGTTAGAATGATAAATGAATGGTAGAGTAGAGAATGGAAACAGGGAGTGTGTCAAAGAGACAACAACCTGACCAAAGGGCAGAAAACAGCCCAAGGTTACCAATGGGTCTTCAACGTGGTACATGGTTTGGAAGCTTACAAATTGTCTGACATTTTACATAGATTCACCAATAAATTTTCCATTCAAGTCCTCAATTCAAAGAACACATATATTATAGGTTGCAGTGTACAAATAAATCGAGATATAAGAATACAAGCAATTTTAAATCAAATACACTGCAAAAGAATACATTTGTAAAAATAAAAAATATTAAGATGCCCATTTATTCCAATAGAAAAGCAGATTTAGACAAATAATGTTTCCTACTATTACATACATCCATACTTAAGCTAAAGGAAAAAAAAAAAATTCATGTATTTCACTGGTTCAACTGTTTAAAAATAAATTTACCAAAAGTGAATATGGTGTATCATAAGAGGATCTAGACGGGATTTACAAAATTGAGAATACCGGTAATAGGTAAATAAAAAGAGAAGAACAGGAAATAAAAATTTAAGAATATTTAAAAAAAAAAATCAGGAATAGAGAATAATGGAGTGATAAAATATAAAGAACAGAAAATACAAGTAATGAGCAAAATATTATAAAGAAGAGAGAAATAAGGCCTAAAAAAATAAAGAATAAAGAGATGAATACCCCATCCAGACCCTCAATATTAATTTTGGCATCTTGTAATTTTGATTCACATGTGAAATTGGTTGTCAGTTGAATTACAGTGATGTGTAAGACTTTTTAGAATATTACCCAACAAAACAAATGAAGGCTTTTCCATGTCAATTGAAGGAATGCAATACATTTTGCAACAGATCACCTATTATAGAGGATACAATTTTGCATATAAACCTCAATACCTTAATTTCAAGAAGAAATGAAGGACAGATAAGGAACTCCACTCCTTTGATGCAGGTTTTAAAATTTAAATGTTTCTAAATGTTATGTAATGGTACCTAAAAACATTGGATGATCCATTGAATAAGTTAAAGAAGATTAAAATATATCACATCAAATTTTATGTTCAACTGAGTGTTAGTACTTTTAGGTGAAAATAGATTTAAGAGTTTGACACATAAACTTTTTCTTCAAGATCTCCATGTTAGAGCAAAAATGATTGGATAGAAATATGCAAATTATGATTTCCTTCCTATTTACTGGTTAAATTAATTTGTTCATAAAACATGACTTTTCTGCTATTTTGAACAATGTTTTAAGTCAACAGTTTACATATTAATTATTAAATTCCTACTTTTTATTTACATTAATATGCACCTTATATATACAATATACAGTGAGCAATAAACAGTCGTGGTTGTAATATCTACCTGAGAAAATAAATTAATGTGAGATTTTCTTTCCACTAAATATTTGCACAACAGATAACTGGTGTTCACAGTAATAGCACTTGATCATTGAAGGTAAAGGAGGCATGATTATTATTTGCCCTTTAAGTACCTTAATAAGGGTAGGTTAACCGTTACTGGCAAATTTTTTTCATCCATGCAACTTGATAAAAAACCAATCTGTCCAAGTTATTACAAATATTTAACTTATTCTCATTGTAAATTGAAATAAAATCACTGTTTACACCAATGGGAATTTTTCTCAATACATGTTTATCTTTTTCAACTGTAATGGCCATTCAACAGCAACTGCAAGGATTCTGACATAAATTCTAAAACATATGTCATGTTTTTTTTTATCAAGACACACACTGAAAAGTCTTGTCTGCTTTACTGATTATGACTGAATTTCATGTTTAGTCTTTAAGATCAGAGTTTTACTACAGGTACCACATACCGGTAAACTTTTATTTATGGTTAACAATTAAAATGAGGTCAGGGTCAGATGAACCCTGCTAGACAGACTGGTACATTCCATATATCAAATATAGATGACCGATTGCTTATAGTTTGTGAGAAAGAGATGCACTATGTTTAAAAAAATTATTATCTAACTATTAATCTCTAAATGCTGAAATATATATGATTATTCACACAAATCATAGCACCAAATCATGAAGCTATAAGCTGAGAGTTTTTAAGCACTTTATATGAGTTTGCTGGCGATAATATCAAATAAATATCTGTAAAAATATGAAAGGAAAACATAATAGTTAAGGCTTGGAACAGTATACAGCCAAATAAAATGTTAAAACAAGAATCATGTGCATGTTTGACATAAAATCAACAGACATATCTAATCTGTTTTTGGTTCTCAAAACTTTCTCATATCTAATGTCTGAAATTAGGTTATTATCAAAGATAAAATATTATGTTCAACACTTTCCCATATATTATATTTGATAAAAAAAAACACTACCAAGAAATTCAACAACTGATATACTGTCAGAAAGAAAAAAACATCAATATGTTCACATTTCATATCTACAAAAAAAAAAATTCAAATGAATAAATTTTGGAATAATAAAATCTTCCTACCTACCCTATTCATACTCAGGTTGGTAAAAGGAAACACAACCTATTTTTTACTTGGCCATAAATAATTTATTTTTCCAATTTCATTCTGACCTAGTAATACTAGTCATGTTGAATAAGTACTATCCAATATGAATTAAGTGTTACCAAATAATCCAGAACAGATTTTGATTCATCATTCTGTACTTTCCATTTACAGAGGGATGCATGTGAGAAAATGAAAATATTCGGCTAATTTAAGTGATTTTTTCATACTAAATAAATAACAATAATCAATATTTACAATTTAAATACACAAAAGTCTGTATTTCAAGGAAACAAAAAATGACAATGAATAGGTGATTTACAAAAATAAAATTTGAATTAAATCACATATTTCAACCCTATAATTAGGCTGTTTTAAACATATATAACAAATAATTAAGCTATGGTAGGTGAGGTTATTAAGAAGAAAAAATAGAAGTGTCAGAATGCCTTTTAAAGTCAACCCATAATATATACATATTATAATTTTTTTGTTCTTTAAGCAATCCCAATAACTTTTCATTATAAAGTTGTAGAGATATTTCCTTAGTTTAGTTTTTCTTTGAAATACAACTTCAAAGATTGGAAAATATCCTCACTACTCAACAAAACTTATCATTCCACATTTCAAAAGATTCTGAAATCATATACAAATTCTGATAATGGTAACTGAATTGAATGATACTTTGTGAAAATATCTCTTTATCAAACTGATGAAATTATACACCTGAGAGTATTCTGACAAAATTAGTACTATAAATTTAATCAACGGTTATCATTATAAAACCATTCACCATCTATTACATCAGTATAAAGAATTGTATAAAACAAGCTGTTCAAATTTTAGTCACTTTTAGGTCTTGAATTCTGTCGTACTGCTTGTTTTGCTGTCTGTTTAAAACCTTGCTGTACTGCTTGGGTATAAATTTGAAATAACGCCTGAAATAAAAAATAAATTTATGAGATCATTCATTGGTATTTTCATCTGTTATAGGATTTTCTTAGGAGTGATTGGTAGATTGGTTCTATTCTGACAACAATAATTAGGTATTGAAATCAATACTGCTCATGTAAAACAGCCAGTTTATGGGGATTTACCATAGATTTACCAAGGTTACACCAGAACAATTTGACATTTGTTTAAAATACTCCTTAATCATATTCAAATATAACATAACATTTGCAAGAAAATAAGTGAACACATTTATGATTTTTTCCAAAAATTTCAGTCAACGAATCATGATAAGTCATAGCATAAAATATGCTGAACTGATAAGAAATGAGGTTAATGCTTGATTGATTGACTGATTGACTTACATTGCCTCTGCACAAAAATGTTATATCACATGGAGGAGAATAATGCAACAGCACACCAACTACCATTAGTCTAATAAAAATGCTGATTTAGTTTCTAAGAAAACTTAACAGTTTAAAAACTTGAGGGCATATGATACAGTTACAGGGGAGGTAATGACGTTGCTAATGTAAAATGTTATTTTTTGAAAGGTCAAACTGTGAAATATAGGGTAAATATGCATTTTTCGACTGATTTTATTCATTAGCTTGAAACATGTTCATGGACCCTTCATTTTTAAAATGACATTTGGCCAGATTATGTATCACAATTATTTGTACCAATTTTTATAAAAAAATCACAGATGAATTTTTCTTAAATTGGGAAAAAAATACAGCAAAAAATGCTGTTTTTTTCTACAATCATGAAAAAATGATAGAAATATATTGTTTTCAAAGAATTGTTTCACAAACTTAGGGTAGACTTATGTAAAGACGATATTCCAAATGTTTTTACAAAAATCCAATGGTGATGATTATCTTTTGAAACAAATAAATGGGGAATGTGTCCATGGAACACAGATGATGCCCCCGCTTGCATATCATATAAAGTTATAAAGGCATATAACTGAAGAACAGTAAAAGTGACACTACCCAAATGTGTACTTGATCTGAGTTTTGTGGTAATAAGTATTGTGTATAAGTTTTATAACATTTGGTTGAAGTAAACCTAAGTTAGAGAACAGAAACAAAAAATTCAGCAATGTTTCCGTTTGTAAAGGGGCATAACTCTAGAACAGTAAAAGTGACACCACCAAAATTCATACTTGATCTGTGTTTTGTAGTAATAAGTATTGTGTATAAGTTTCATAATATTTGGTTGAGGCTAACTAAAGTTAGAGAACAGAAACGAAAAATTTAGCAATTTCCATTTGCAAAGGGGCATAACTCTAGAACGGTTAAAGTGACGCCACCAAAATTCAAACTTGATCTGTGTTTTGTAGTAATAAGCATTGTGTATAATTTTCATAACATTTGGTTGAGGCAAACTTAAGTTAGAGAACGGAAACGAAAAATTCAGCAATTTTTCCTTTTGTAAAGGGGCATAACTCTAGAACGGTTAAAGTGACACCACCAAAATTCAAACTTGATCTGTGTTTTGCGGTAATAAGCATTGTGTATAAGTTTCATAATATTTGGTTGAGGCAAACTAAAGTTAGAGAAAGGAAACCAACTTTGGGACGTACGTACATACAGACGAGGGTAAAACTTAATGGCCCCTCCGCTACGGCAGGGAACAAAAAGTTAGATGTGTCTGTTCAAAGGATAGAAATGTCATAGAAACCAAAATTTTGAGTAAATGTCTAAAATTTCGACCCCATTTATCTCTAAAAGTAGCATATGAAGGTATATTTTTTATTGCATATTTGAATTAACTTAATTAAAAATAGCTTGTATGCAAATTTTCGTCAAAAAATTACTGTGGGATCAAAACAGTATTGTATGCCCTTAAGTCAATAAAGCATGGCCAAGGGGGCCAACCCTCATACTCATTGTCTCATAGCTTAAATGAAAGGGTGCTAATGCAACAGCATATCAAATATCAATGGTGTAGTTGTGACCCCTATAAAGTGTTAACCGAATTCAGGCTTGTATAGTCCGCGATTTTATCCTCCAAAATTAAACCTGCCAGACAGGGGTGCGGATTATAGAGTATGATAAGCAAGAATTAAGAGAAAAATTTGATTTTGCAAGGTTTGTTTACGTTCAGCCATGTTTGTTATTGAAATTGTAGAGGGTGCCCTTATCATTTTCAAAACTAATATTTTACCTAATCCATATGAATGTGCAATTTTAATTCAAAATCCATTATAAAGTGATTAATTTCAAAATTAAATGCTTCATTACAAATTTCTTGTTTCTTTTCACAGCATTGTATAACATAAACTGGAAACCAATTGTATTTAACGGAATGAAAAAAGTGTATAAGTTAGCAGGGAACAGTTACAAAAAGTTTTTTTACATGAATTCTCCTGGCAAGAAGGGGGTACAGACAATGTACCAGTGGTAACTACAGAAGACGGATTACATAGTGTCATAAAGAAGTCTATTAGAAACACAAAAAACAAGAATGTGTCCATAGTACACGGATGCCCAACTCGCACTATCATTTTCTATGTTCAGTGGACTGTGAAATTGGGGTCAAAACTCTAATTTGGCATTAAAATTAGAAAGAATATATCAAAGGGAACATGTGTACTAAGTTTCAAGTTGATTGGACTTCAACTTCATCAAAAACAACCTTGACCAAAAACTTTAATCTGAAGCGGGACAGATGGACAGATGGACGAACGGACGGACGAACTAACGGATGCACAGACCAGTAAACATAATGCCCCTACTACTATCGTAGGTGGGGGCATAAAAAATTCAATATCTTCAAACTCATTAGTGCATAAATTATAAGTAGATTTGATAGATGATTTACTTTTTTTTTACTCAAAACAGGGATAACAGATCCTTTGTCCAAATTATTTACCTTAGTGTTATGTTACATGTGTACAAAATGTTTAAATAAAATGTATAAATAAAACAGTCTACCTTATCCCAAATAACATTGGCAACTTGGTCAATATGTTGTCCTATTGATGCATGATCTCCACTGTATCTACAATATATCCATGTTATCAACAGAATCAAGAAAATTCCAAGGGCCCAATTCATCAAGCTGGCAAATGATTCCATTCCTATAATTCCGAAAAATCCTGATAAAAAATATGCAATTGCCATCACAGAGAACAATACGGCTGGAGTCCGTGCAGAACTGAAAATATTTTTTCCTTCGTTATGACTTTTAAAATTATCATTTGTCTCTTCAATGTCTTTCTGTAACTGTTCTTTATAGATTGAACTAAATTCCTGCCCACCCATTTTCCTGGTGGCATCAAACAAATCCATGGCAATGGTAAGGCATCTTATATGTTCTCGTTCTAGCTGCTCTGGATGTAAGTAAGGTTTGTCACCACCACATATCTGAAACAATATAATACATAATTACAAAAAGCTACAAAACATTTTACCTATAATAAATGAGTTACAAAATAAGGACAGCACAAAAATTAAAACTTTTTTCTTAATTTTAAGCTGTTTTTTTCATTTAGAAATAGGATAGTAAAACTTAGTTTCGTTAACTTAATATTATTGTTTTTGTTCCGAGCTTTTTTTTCATGAAAAATATGAATGAAAGTGTCAAATTACCCCAAATTTTCTGTGTTCTTAACTATTGTGTTGATATTTTCAAATCTAAATAAAAAAGATCTTCGAACTAAACTGAAGCATAGTCTAACACAACACACATGAACTGATTGCCCAGCAGATCTGAAATTCTCTTATACAGCACATTGTAAAGTTCAAGACCAAATATCAAATTTTCCTTATACAGAAGACAAGGAATATGTAATGGAAGACAGGTAGTCAAGGTCATTGCAGTGTACCACCCACCTTGCGATTGGGTGTATAAAATTCTACATTTCATCAAGTTTTATAAGTGTTAAATCATTATTCTTCCTACCTTTTCCATTTCTTTGGTATACCGACTCTTTGAACTTGAAACAGCTGCTAGATTATTGGCCTCTGCTGTTGCCTAAGGAATAAAAGATATATATGAAAATAGTTACATAAATATTTGGAGGATGAATGGATGATGATTATTCAGTAAGAAATCTTTCAACCATATTCAGGACATATTATGTGATATGAACAGTAGTGTACTAGACCAACATCTGTGCCAGAATTTTAGTTTGCTAGTCCATACCGCAACATTCAAAGAGAAGATAAGTAACAATATGATTCAGACTTTGTCTAAGATACAAGATTTTTTTATGATTTTTGTTTTTGGCTTTGAACTAGCTTTCAGTAACTTTGAGTACGTTCAGATCTGTACTTTGTGTCTTTTGCATTTTTGTTGTTTTTCATGCTTTGTATTGATCGGAATAGTTAAGCCCTTTTCACCAGATTTTTATAGTTTGTTCTTATGCTGTACTGCTAAACCAATATATCCATGTTATCAACAGAATCAAGAAAATTCCAATTGCCTTTTATGCAATTATATTCATTTTCATATTAATAAAATGTATGGTTTATGTTAATGAGACAATAACCCAAAAAAATAAAAACCAAAGACATAGTCTTTCTTCATTTGGTATTTAATTGTTCAATATTTTTTTTCAAATTTGAAATTGCTCATTGTAATTATTAACTCTGTAAAGCTTTCATTAACCGCTCCAAAATGAAACTTAATGAAGAACTTTACATAATTATATTGTCTGCCACCTTTGTATACTTACAAGCAACATAGACTTGGGCTCTGGTAATTCTTCTCCTTGATAAATTTTGATGTAAGCCTGAAAAAATTGAAAGTATGGAATAATATAGAAGTTGCCAATGTTGTCAATAAGAACCTACTTTAGTTCTCTATTCCTTTCATGTTCACAATTTTCCATTCATATAAGTCTTTTTTTTATGTATATAAAGCTTTCAGCCCTATTGGCTACATAATGATGGCCAGTTTTTATTGGTGGAGGAAGCTGGAGTGCCTGGAGAGAACCACAGACCTTCAGTAGTAAAACTGACAATCCTAGTCAATTAAGATCGAAGTCGAATGCACCTGCTACATGCGGAGTTTGAACTAATAACCTCAGTGGTGACAGGCTAGTGATTGCTATTGATGAACTACTTTAACCACTCAACTCTGAGGTCCTCAAGAATTGAAAATTACCTTGAAATATTCTACAAGTTCTCTACAGGTTATCTTTGATCCATTCATTTCTTTTATTTTCAAGTTATCTTCATCCAATAGCAATGGCACTAATATTTGAAGTTTGTCTTTAAAATCTGATTCAATATCTATAACAGAAGAAAAACATTTGAGAACACCACGTTAAATTAAATAGACAGCTCAACATATGTATAACATAAATCAATGAAAACTATTTTGTGCTCTCCATTAGTTCCTAAATGAGACAGTGCCATAAGGGCTCTTTTGGCCTATTTTTTTCTATAAAAATTTGACTTCTTATTTGAGGTGTTCATAAATGTCTGTTTAAAAGTTGAAGTAATACAAAATTAGAAAAGAGTAGTTTTCAATCCAGGAGGTGAAAGTATATGTAGATGTGACTATCTACATCACCAAAATTCTGGAAAAAAATACATCAATTTTAGTCATTTTCAGATAGTTTTGGGCTCAAAATACAGAGCCAATGCAAAATACCAACTAAATAATTCCCCAAAATGTTTATCTATATGAACAATACCATTCATGTAAATTTTTTTGTGGTACTTGCTTGTACGTATTATTTCCCAAAACATATATACGTCAGAATTTGCAAATTATGTTGAAAAAATGAAATTTTCCCATCTTTTAACTGTAAAATCACTACTAATATTAAGGATTTAAAGATCTTACAGTTTAAACTTTGCACATTCTTAATAGTTACATTTAAATCTTAATCACCTGATATTAAAGTATTTTATTTTCTTAGGCGACAAGGGGCTCTTAGAGCACCTCCTACTGTGAGAAGGACAGTCAGAAAGCTTTGTTCTTATATTGAAAATAAATGGGGAATGTGTCCATGGGACACAGATGATGCCCCTCCTTGCATATCATATAAAGTTATAAAGGGACATAACTGAAGAATGATAAAAGTGACGCTACCCAAATTTGTACTTTATCTGAGTTTTGTGGTAATAAGTATTGTGTATAAGTTTGATAAAATTTGGTTGAGGCAAACTTAAGTTGGAGAACGGAAACGAAAAAATGCTGATTTTTCATTTGAAAAGGGGCATAACTCTAGAACAGTATAAGTGACACCCCTAAAATTCAAACTTGATCTGTATTTTGTGGTAATAAACATTGTGTATCAATTTCATAACATTTGGATGAGACTAACTTAAGTTAGACAAAGGAAACGAAAAATTCAGCAATTTGTCCATTTGTAAAGGGGCATAACTCTAGAACCATTAAAGTGACACCACCAAAATTCAAACTTTATCTGTGTTTTGTGGTAATAAGCATTGTGTATAAGTGTCATACCATTTGGTTTAGGCAAACTAAAGTAAGAGAATGGAAATTAACTTTGGGACGAACGGACGGACAGAGGTACGTACGGACGTACAGACAGACAAGGGTAAAACTTAATGCCCCCTCCGCTATGGCGGGGGCATAAAAACAGATATGACTTTGACTTTAACATAGCCTTAGATCATGAGCAACATTCATTCAGTAATTGTTTTGCAAAATTTCATAAAATATCTCATTAAATCAAATATGAATATTAAAAACATCCACTACATAATCTCCAATATGAATAAGAAAAGTCAAGAATTAGTAAATGTTTTTCTTCCATTTTCAGCATTTGACATCAATCTGTACTCTTGTCTTACCTTTCAGTCTTCCATCAAATTTTGGATTTGTGGCAACTTTAAGACCAGGATGTGGCATTAAAAAACAACCAATATTTTCAAAACAGGATTTTATGTGTGATCTCAATTGTTGCAACTCATTATGTTGCTTATCTGAAATCTGAAAAAGATAAGATTGAACTGTCAAGCTGTTTAGATTGTTCTATAAAAACATAAGGTACCAAGGACAGATACTTTTAAATTGTTAGCAATTTATAGTTTATCAAATCTTAAATCTCTGTAAATATAAAAAAAATAAATCCAAAATATCTCTATGGTTGGGTTTTCTAACTTAACACACATATAAGTTGTTATGAAAATGGAATTAGCTGCCACACGAATTAGTAATATGTGGTGTTTCTGACTAATTATAATTAAAATAAATACATCAATCATAATGTTTTTGGTGTAAATATAGCTAAAAATTTGTTTGCAATCAGCCAGCAAATATTAAAGCGGTCAGGAAAACAAAAATTTGTTTTTCAAAGTTAGCCAATTTGAAAGGTAATCGAAAATCATCTATCATATTCGTTTATGAACTTAATGAAAGAACCTTAGTGAGCGCGCTCACATACCCCACGTCCCCACATTGTCATTTGAGAAATAAAATAAGTGTAAGAAAAAAAAATTGTATCAGAAAAAAAAATTGAATCATAATTTCCTGTCAATATGCACATCTACATAGTATGTCCTTATTATCTACACAGTTTCATGAAATTCTGTTGTGTGGTTTGAGAGGAGTTGCAATGACAAAAGGTTGCAGTAGTATATTGGGCAAATAAGTTCAAAGGGGTGTAACTCCTGGAAAAAAAATTGAATCTTAATTTCCTGTCGATATGCACATCTACGTTGTATGTCCTTATTATCTGAAAAGGTTTCATGAAATTCTGTTGTGTGGTTTGAGAGGAGTTGCAATGACAAAAGGTTGCAGTAGTATATTGGGCAAATAAGTTCAAAGGGGCGTAACTCCTGGAAAAAAAATTGAATCGTAATTTCCTGTCGATATGCACATCTACGTAGTATGTCCTTATTATCTGAAAAGGTTTCATGAAATTCTGTTGTGTGGTTTGAGAGGAGTTGCGATGACAAACTGTTGCAGTAGTACATTAAAGTAAATAAGTTCAAAGGGGCGTAACTCCTAGAAAAAGAATTGAATCGTAATTTCCTGTCGATATGCACAACTACATTGTATGTCCTTATTATCTAAAAAGGTATCGTGAAATTCTGTTGTGTGGTTTGAGAGGAGTTGCGATGACAAGAAACAGTACTGACGGACGAACGGAAGGGTCAAAAACATTATACCCTGCGCAACTCGTTGCGCGGGGTTGAAAACATACTTTCACTACTAGTTAGCCATGTGGTGTATTATATAATAAATAATTCTTTCATGTCTTGCTCTATGCTTATTTTAGCATGGGTAGATATTATATTTGTCAACATCTTCACAGAGAGTTAGCGAGGTGTAAAATAATATAATTAAGTATTTAAGTATAATGTATACAAGCTGAAGCTCTGCCTATCTATTGATTGCAGATGTCAATCTTAATTACAATGCTTGAGCAAACATTTATACAAACAAAGTAAGCAAGCCAACCAAACCTATAAACTACAAGTATTAAGAAAATAGCTCTAAAGATAAATCAATTTCTCACCTGCAATCTTCTTTCAAGTATTTTTCTTCCTCCAGCAGCTCCATAATCTGCCTCATATGGAAAACTCCAGTCCCTCACCAAAAATTCTAAACACTGATAAATTTAAAACATACAATAAACTATAAATACTCATACTAAATGATTCAAACAATGTAAATAAACATGGTGTAAAATTAAGGCAATAGCAAAGTATCTGTTCAACATAAAGAACAATGTATTATGTTCTGTAAAAAAAAACTGTTACTAAATTCACTATGTGGTCATATTCAAATCAAACTTGTGATGGAATAAAATGTTATAAAGCAGCATCCTCTAAAATCCAATAATATTTTTACTATTTATGATTTTCCAGAATCAAATTGTAATGATTTTATTTCTGAATCAATAATCATAGGTATCATAACGAGTAAAATTGGATATCTATTGATATCAACTTGAGTTATTTAATTTCAATTTAATAATAATTGCAAGAGTTTATTATTATTATTGAAATTAAACAACAAAGTTGATATCAAGGGATATCCAATTCTCATGAGTTATGAAAAGATATTATTTGATGGTGTCTGATCCATTTGTTATTTTGAACAATGAAAAAAAAGAAAAATTTGAGAAAATAGCGGTAAAACTTATTCATAATACTACAAAACAGAAAAAAATAACGTTCAACAGAGTTTCTTAAGGAGATGTTATTATTATGTAAAATATTTAGTACATACCTGAAATGGTTTTGATATGTTATCGTTTGCTTCTAGAGCAAGTCTTCCATACTCAGTAAACAGCTACCAACACAGATAACAAATGTAATATTAAATAATGTTTCTAAGAAAAGAATGCAATGACTTAAAAGATTAATGTTAAAAGCTACAACTTGGGTATAAAAGCATGTCTTAATATGAGTAGGCCAGACATTAAATGTAAGAGATGATGATTAAAATCTTCAAAGAACAATATCATACGATAGCATATAGTTAATATTATATTGATGTCAACAATTGAGATTCATGTCAAACACATAAGAATGAATATGTTGTGGTGATTACTATTTCCTGACTTGTAATTCAAAGTATCGATAAAAACAGAAAGTAGGTACCAGACAGATTGGAAAAAGAAACACATGTTACAACTCACCAGTGTTAAGCTTGCTGACCAAATATGAAGTCATTCTGTTCAGTAGTATTGGAGAAATAAGTGACAAAAACTTTTAAGTTCATTCAACATACTGAGAAAAAAAAAGTATTGCCAAACAGGAAGTAGGAATTTGACAGATCTGAAAAGTGTTCACACGTTACAAATTTTCACTGTCAAGCTTCTGACAAATGGATGGAGGAACAAGGTGATTGGAACATAGCACCAACTTCCAGAGCAGTGGTATAAAAATCAATAACTGATTTTTTCTTCGAAAATTTGGTTAATAAAATAAATTCACACATCAAATGTAGGTCATAGTGCCCATAATGGTACATGTAATGACATTTTTTTCTAACAATATCAGTACAAAACCTAAACTGTGGTATTACATGTATTAAGACATTATTTGGAAAATATAACTAATATTATGTCAAGATTTCAGTCAGAAATGGTTTTCACCATAAATCTTAACAAAATAACCTAAGTATTACACATTCATTACAATAATATTTTTTTCTACAAAAATGTATTCTACTATGTAAAGAAAATGAAATTTTAAAATATCACTGATATAAAGGTTAAGTAAGAACATTTTTTTCTCAACATCAGAAGAGCCCTGTCAAAAAAGTTGCTTGTTAAAACACTTTTTTTTTAACTTGTCCAAAATATTGAATAAAGAAATAAAAACTTTCAATTGCTTTACTGTATTTATTTAAAAGACTTTCCTGGTAACTTAATGATAAAGTCAACTACAAGCCATCAAATCAGAAGCCCACTGCTGGCATTAACTGTTATGTTGTCTGTCCATCCTCAGATATTGTTACCGACTAAACATATACAAGTAAACAACACTGTTTTAAATTTAAGCAACTTATTAACAGTAACAAACATTTAAATGGTAATGCAATCACCCAAACTCGGCCAGTACAAAACTCAAAATTAATCAGCAACTTCTTATGATATAACTTAATACCATATGTAGCTAATTTCATTTTCATACATTTTTCTATTTCTGAGGGCAACAACTTCCACAAAAATCTAAAAGTGTGTTGGACTGATGAAGTAGCTTTAGCTTTGCCAGTAAGGTACTAACAGGCAGTTAACTGTGTATTTCTTCAAACTCTGAGGATTCATTCATTAATGATAAGATAGCTCAAGGAAAGAAAACTTTCAGCAAAAATCATTACAGAATCTCATAATGGTTTTAGATGATAAGGAGTTCAAAAAAGAACTATTCTCACATGAATATAATGTTCTAAGCAAATAACATGAAATAGTTATACTATCTTTCAAATATATTATCAATGATGCTGTCTCAACCTTAAAAAACAGATTGACAGTGTCTCAGAAAACTAGAGGCTCTCAAGAGCCTGTGTCGCTCACCTGTATTTACTGATGCTTTGGAAATCATGTAAAACAAGAAATGATTGTAACAGGATGCTGTTACGAAGTCTCCCAAACGAAGCTCCCATAATTCGTAATTCCCAGGGTCACCTGACATTGGACAAAGTCCTGTGAAAATTGGTTTGGTCCAGTAAAGTTATATGCATTAGTGATGCCTGGGGACTAACCCTGTATATCATTCAAATCATCTTGGCATGACAAACCAGAATATGTATGGTTTAGGGGTAGGGATCTCGACCATTTACAAGATACAAGAACATTGGGGGTGGGGGGGAACCCCTGGGGACTGACCCTAAATGTCATTCAAATGTTCGAGACATGACGAACAGGAATATATATGGTTTAGGGGTGGGGATCACGACCATTTACAAGATATTAGAACATTGGGGGTGGGGGGAACCCCTGGGGACTGACCGTATACGTCATTCAAATGTTCTAGACATGATTAACAGGAATATATATGGTTTATGGGTGGGGATCTCTACCATTTACAAGATATTAGAACTTTCTCAAATGACAGGGGGTTGGGATGACCCCTGGGGACTAACCCTGTATATCATTCAAACCATCTTGGTATGACAAACCAGAATATATATGGTTTAGGGGTGGGGATCTTGACCATTTACAAGATATTAGAACTTTCTTAAATGGCAGGGGGTGGGGGTGACCCCTGGGGACTAACCCTGTATTTCATTTGATGTGCTTTATCATGACAAACCAGAATGTATATGGTTTAGGGGTGGGGATCTCGACCATTTACAAGATATTAGAACTTTCTCAAATGGCAGGGGGTCGGGATGACCCCTGGGGACTAACCCTGTATATCATTCAAACCATCTTAGCATGACAAACCAGAATATATATGGTTTAGGGGTGGGGATCTTGACCACTTACAAGTTATTAGAACTTTCTTAAATGGCAGGGGGTAGGGGTGACCCCTGGGGACTAACCCTGTATTTCATTTAATGTGCTTCATCATTTAGAACATTTTCAATTAAAAAGATTGTGTCTATCACAAATGGTTTTCAATTTTTAATCATTTGAAAATTTTAAAAAATAAAATCCCATAGGGTTCTATAGTAAAACCCTCCTTTCTTTTTGCCCCTCAAAGTACCCCTTTATAAACCCCATTGCACAAACAAAACCCTGATTGCACCACTAGACATGTTAGTCTAACATATTGTGAAACCCTAAGTTAATCTGACAAGCGGTTAGAAGAAGAAGAAGAAGAAGAAGAAGAAGAAGAAGAAGAAGAAGAAGAAGAAGAAGAAGAAGAAGAAGAAGAATAATAATAATTATAAGAACTGAGCAAAACCAATAAGTCCTCCCAAACTTCGTTTGGGAGACTTAATAAGGTTAAAATCATAATTAATAGTATTAGATATTAGATATTATAATGATATCTAAGATAATAACAAAAAACTGCAAAATTTTTGTAAAATTACTAACTCAGGGGCAGCAACCCAACAACCGGTTGTTGGATTTGTCTGAAAATTTCAGGGCAGATAAATCTAAATCTAATGAACATTTTTGCCACCTGTCAGATTTGCTCTAAATGCTTTAGTTTCAGAGATATAAACCAAAAACTGCATTTTACCCCTATGTTCTATTTTTAACCAAGTTGGCCATGATGGTTGGTAGGCGGGGTCATAGGACAAATTTTTAAACTAGATACCCTAATAATGATTATGGCCAAGTATGGTTAAATTTGTCTCAGTAGTTTCAGAGAAGAAGATTTTTGTAAAAGATTACAAAAATTTACGAAAAATTGTTCAAAATTGACTATTAAGGGCAATAACTCATAAAGGGGTCGACTGACAATTTTGGTCATGAAACTTATTTGTAGATCTTACTTTGCTGATTATTATTGCTGTTTACAGTTTATCTCTATCTATAATAATATTCAAGATAACCAAAAACTGCAAAATTTCCTTAAAATTACCATTTCAGGGGCAGCAACCCAACAACAGGTTGTCAGATTTGTCTGAAAATTTCAGGGCAGATAGATCTTGACCTGATAATCAGTTTTACCCTATGTCAGATTTACTCTAAATGCTTTGGTTTCAAAGAAATAAGCCAAAATCTACATTTTACCCCTATGTTCTATTTTTAGCCATGGTGGCCATCTTGGTTGGTTGGCGGGATCATCGGACACATTTTTTTAAACTAGATACCCTAATGATGACTGTGGCTAAGTTTGGTCAAATTTGGCCCAGTGGTTTCAGAGGAGAAGATTTTTGTAAAAAGCTAACGACGACGGACGCCAAGTAATGAGAAAAGCCCACTTGGCCCTTCGGGGCCAGGTGAGCTAAAAATGAGCACAAATGTACTATTGATATAAAAACAAGGAATGTGACCGTATGATTTCCAATTAGTCAACTATCCACCAAAGGACTAGTAAGTGAACAACTACTGGTCCCCTGTATTTAAACTTGCTTATATTTGGCCTTAATTTTCACACTGAATTTACAAATCTGAAGAAGATTAAAAGTTCACAATAGTTCAGTGCAAGTAGTATTCATAGCTACATCTGCATTGTGTTATGTACTAAAGCAGGAAACCACTAATTAAATTAGTTACCTTACCTTAATGATGGATAATAAACCTTAAAATGTATCACTATTCATAAAATCAAAAAAGATCATTTTACTAAATGCTATATTCAGATGGAGTGAGAGAAAATTTTCCATACCTTTATATCTCCATCAGTCAGAGCAAAGGGCATGCCAAATACTTCATTCACTTAAAAATTGTTTGAATGACCCTACACACTTCCAAATGAATGACTTTAACAGTGAAATTTATGAGGATGATGATGATTGATCGCTGCTTAATGTCCAGCGGCAAATTAATATGCATATTCAGGACGAGAACATGTTAATGTAATATGAATATTAACCATGCTTTGTACTAGACCGACACGCTGAGCCGGATTTTTGACGTGCTAGTTCACAAGGTAACAGTCTGCAGGAAGACATGTCACGTCACCCGGACACATTATTCTGATTCCGAGCCAACCAGTCTTTGCTCTTACTCCTTATTGCTGCGTGCTTAGCAGAGAAGCAGCAAATACCAATTTTAAAGTCTTTGGTTTGACCCAGCCGGGGTTCGAACTCACAACCTCCCGCACTTGAGGCGAACATGCTACCACGAGACCACCGAGGCAGTCCTGAAATTTATGAAACATTCAACAGATCTTGACAAATTCTTAAAGCAGCCTTCTATTATAAAGACATCAAGGTATAGAGATATATGAAATTGTAAAGGTCATTCAATTGAATAAAACAAAAAAATGCATAAAATTGTATATTCTATAATCAATATATAATTTTTACAAGATTGTTGAATGAATCCAACAAAAATAAAATACCCTATCATTCATCATCACTTTTCAAAAACATATGTTACACAGCCTAAGAGGTGTCATACTTCATAGATCTATTAGAAATAGATTGTTTTTCTCATCCCATATACAGCTCACATAAATATTTTTAAATTTCGTCAAAAATCATCTTTAGACAATCTTCATCAGTCTCCATTCCTTGTAAATTAAGAATTAAGTGTTGATTGCAGAACTTAGTCTCAGTTTAATAATTCTTACCGAGTCCGAAAATTTGGGCAATTCACATTGTGACATATGATATGCCATTTGCCTATTACTGAAGACATCTAGTTCACCTATAGATGTCTCTTTTGGTCTTATTGTCTTGTTTGATTGCTGTCTCATTGGCATACATTTCACATCTCATTTTATTCATACTAATGAAAGAAATTGAAGTATAAGTTTACCTGTAAATGTTGCAAATCATCTTCTTGAATATTCTGTGTTATATTGTAAACCTAAAATAATTGAAGTGTAACATTACATTCATGTAGGTCACTAAGAAACTAAGATATAAACTAAGATTTAAACTGATTAAAGTCAGTGGTGCATAAAATGTAGGTCACAGCGACCTGGATTTTGAAGGGCTACTCAAGTCCCCAAGATACATCAATATTCCAAGTTAATCTTTATAAGAGATCTGAACTTGGAATGTCAAGCTTAATATAATTTACGACATTTAAAAACTTCATCAAATCCACCAAGGTAAATGTAAACTAGGGGTTCTAAAGAGCCTGTGTCACTCACCTTGGTCTATGTGCATATCAAACAAAGGGCACTCTCCAACATTGTAGACGGGAATAGACTCATGACAAAAATCTCTATTTTGTTGATCTTGTATTACTGATCATTTAGTCTGTTTAGTTTCTCTCTATCTTCTTTAGTTTTTGCTCAAAACACAAAAGAGGGTAAACAAAATCCTCATTTAAGGGCAATCACTCCTATGAAGAGTGACAGTCTACTAACTATATCAGCAAAATTTGACTTTTTTATAGATCTTGCCTTGCTGATCATTTTTGTGATCTAAAGTGTTTATTTATCTATTATAATTTAAATCATATAAGGCATAATGGAAAAAAATGTTTCTCTCTAAATATCATAGTTTTCATGATAATAGGCAAAAATGAAAATAAACTGTCATCACAGAGATATGTCTCGCTTTTTTGTAATTTTTATTATGCAAATGTTGAAATTAAAATGGCAATACTTAACAAGTTAGGCTAATATTCAAAGTCAATGAACCATGAATGAGGTACATGGCTAAACCATCTCCATGTAAATGAGATGCGCCAATGCTAATACAACTGCATACCAAATATCATTGACTTATTATAAGTTGTTCCCTTTAAACAAACCTAAACACAAACATTAACTTGTAAACTATGTAAACATTTCAAGGTCAATGAACCATGAAGAGGGGGTGGAGCTATATAATCTCCATGGAAACGATACTTACAAATGCCAATTAATTTGCATACCAAATATCATTGACTTAACATTAGCAGTTCATCTTAAACTGATCTTATCACAAACTAATACATGTAAACTAAGCAAAAGTTTCAAAGTCAATAGGCCATGACTGAGGGAATGGGGCCAAATATTCTCCATTGAAATGAGATGTGCTAATGCTTATACAACTGAATACCAATTAACATTGGCCTAGCACTAATGGTTCCCCTTGAACTGACCTAATCACAAACTAATACATGTTTACTAAGCAAAATTTTCAAAGTCATTAAACCATGACTAAGGGGGCTGAGCCAAATAATCTCCATGGAAATGAGATACGCCAATGCTTATACAACTGCATACCAACTATGATTGACCTACCACTAATGGTTCCTCATAAACTGACCTAATCACAAACTAATGCATGTAAAATAAGCAAAAGTTTCAAAGTCAATAGACCATGACTGAGGGGGCAGGGCCAAATAATCTCCATGGAAATGAGATGTGCCAATGCTAATACAACTGTATACCAAATATCATTGACCAACCACTAATGGTTCCCCATAAACTGACCTAATCACAAACTAATACATGTAAAATAAACAAAAGTTTCAAAGTCAATAGACCATGACTGAGAGGGCAGGGCCAAATAATCTCCATGAAAATGAGATGTGCCAATACAACTGTATACCAAATATGATTGACCTACAACTTGTGGATCACCACAAACTAGACCTTATCACAAACTAATACATTGTTGACACCGCTGCTGCCGACGCCGGAAACAGCATACCTATGTCTCGCTTTTTGACTCCGTCAAATTTGTCATTTATGGGCAATAACTCCTATAAGAATTTGTCTGACAGTTTTGACGTATATGGACAATTGGTAGAGCTCATTATTCTGAAAATTTTTGCTCCTTTCAGATTTTCTCAAATTTATAACGGTTCAAATAAACAGCTGCGCCATGAGCGCATGATACGCCCGTCGTCTTGTGTGTGAATTTTTATGCAATAAGCATAAATAGTTTCTAACATACGGCGTGACATGCGAAAACCCTCCCATTTTTTTTACAAAAAACTCAATATCTCTAAAATAAAATTTTGAATCAAAACCAAAAAGTATACAGATCTTTAGATTAATATAACTAAGAAAGGTGTAAAATTTTAAGCAATACTCATAAATCGTTTTTGAGATACAGCGCGACATGTGAAAAACCCCTCCCCCTTTTTTTACAAAATACTCAATAACTCAAAAATAAAAATTTGAATCATCACCAAAAAGTATACAGATCTTAAGGTTAATATAACTAAGAAGTGTGTAAAGTTTTAAGCAATAATCATAAACTGTTTTTGAGATACGGCGCGACATGTGAAAAACCCCTCTTCCTTTTTTAACAAAATACTCAATATCTCTAAAATAAAATTTTGAATCATCACCAAAAAGTATACAGATCTTAAGATTAATATAACTAAGAAGTGTGTAAAGTTTTAAGCAATAATCATAAATTGTTTTTGAGATACTGCGTGACATGTGAAAAAAAACACACACCTGTTTTAGTTACTAAGTCCTGTAACTCAAAAAGTTTTAATCTTATTTTCACCAAAAAGTATACAGACCGTTTGACCATCATAAGAAACAACTATGTTAAGTTTCATGAAATTTGGATAAGTCATTCTCAAGTTATGGTGCGACATGTTTACACCGGACAGACAGACGGACGGGTGCCGGACATTTGTATACCATAATACGTCCCGTCAAAAATTTGACGGGCGTATAAAAATAATAGACAAAACTTGCATTTTACCCCCATGTTCTATTTTTAGCCATGTCGGCCATGTTGGTAGGTAGGCGAGGTCATTGGACACATTTTAAAACTAGATACCCTTAGGATGATTGTGGCAAACTTTGGTTAAATTTGTCTCAGTAGTTTCAGAGGAGAAGATTTTTGAGGAGAAAATTTACAAAAAGTTGTTAAAAATTGACTATGAAGGGCAATAACTCCTTAAGGGGTTAATTGACCATTTTGGTCATGTTGCCTTATTTGTAGATCTTACTTTGCTGAACATTATTGCTGTTCACAGTTTATCTCTATCTATAATAGTATTGAAGATAATAACCAATAAAACCTGCAAAATTTTCTTAAAATTACCAATTCAGGGGCAGCAACCCAACAACGGAATGTCTGATTTGTCTGAAAATTTCAGGGTAGATAGATCTTGACCTGATAAATAATTTAACCAATTGAAAAATTTTATGGTTGTGGAAGTGTTTATATACAAAAATTACAACAAAATATAAAAAATAAATTTTGGCAAGATGTTCTGAAAGCATGGCAACTTCTCAGAGAAAAAGATGAATATGACAGTTGGGAATGCTTTCTTGCTAGTCCAATCTGGCTTAACAATAATATAAAGGTAGCAAATAAACCTATTTTTTATAAAGATTGGTTTGAAAATGGTATAAGATTTATAAATGATATTGTAAATGAAGATGGGACTTTTTTCTCTCATCAAGAATTAGAAGAAATGTATCAGATAAATGTGAATTTCATGAGATATAATAGTATTATATCTGCTATACATCAAGCATCAAAATCATTTGTGGGAAAAAATCACAAATTAGAACTACCTTTAATTCCATCTGCTATTAAAAGACTTGTTAAAAGTTCAAAAGGATCTAAAGATATGTATATTGTTTTAAATAAAAATAAAAGTGTTCCCACTAGTCAGTTAAGATGGACTGAAATTTTTGGCTTTGATCAAAATCATTGGAAAAAAATTTATAAAATGCCATTTGTTGTCACAAATAATACTAAGTTACAGTGGCTGCAGTATAGATTCAATCATCGAATCTTAGCTACAAACAAATTTCTTCATAAAATTAAGATTTATGATAATCCAAATTGTACATTTTGTAATAGAGAAATTGAAACATTAGAACATTTATTTTGGGATTGTGAACATACACAGATATTATTAGAACAGATTGAAAATTGGTTTCTGACCAATGGAGTTAGTGTATTTTTTACAAAAGAAGTTTTTTTGTTTGGTAACATTGCAAAAATATCAAAAGGCAATGCAGAAAATACTCTTTTTCTTACCATAAAGCAATATGTTTATAATACCAGATGTTTTAAAAAAAAACTGTCAATAAACTCAGTAAAAGAGAAGATGAAATATGTGTATGCAATTGACAAAAATATTGCTATGAAAAACAAATGTGAACATCAGTTTCACAGAGAATGGAACATTTTTAATAGATTACTTAGTTAAGTACAAAAATGTATACACTTTAAATTTAATATTATACATGTTATAAATGAAAATGCTGTATTTACTATGCTAAAATAGAATTCAATGTCTAGATGAATTGTATTGAAAACTCACCACACTATTTTCTCTCACTCTCTTTCTCTCTCTCTCCGGTGTTCAGACTGCTTTACTCTTTATCTTATATTTGTATATTTAAAAAAAAAATTGCTTCCTAATAAAAAGATGTATTGTTAAGATAATATCAATAGATTTATATATTATATATTGTTATTATTTGTGTATACACTGTATTATGTTGTAAATTGGAAGTTATAAATAATAAAAATTAAAAAAAAAAAATAATTTAACCATGTCATATTTGCTCTAAATGCTTCGGTTTCAGAGATATAAGCCAAAATCTATATTTTACCCCTATGTTCTATTTTTAGCCATGGCAGCCATTTTGGTTGGCGGGCCGGTTCATTGGACACATTTGTAAACTAGATACCCCAATGATGATTGTGGCCAAGTTTGGTTAAATTTGGCCCAGTAGTTTCAGAGGAGAAGATTTTGGTAAAAGTTAACGGACAACTGACGCCAAGTGATGAGAAAAGCTCACTTGGCCCATAGGGCCAGGTGAGCTAAAAAATCATAGAAAATGTGTCATTTGACATTCACTTACGGATTTGAACATGTTTGTAAGACTGGAAATGTCTGTGTACTGTGTATGGTAATAGAATATTGACTGAAATTTTTTCTGACAGTAGTTTATCTCCTCATGTGAACCAAAAATGTAGATTACTACATTGTGAACAAATACACTGAACACAGTGTAGATGACTAGTGTGTGTGGATAAAACTCCATTTTTCAGAAGGAAAAAGGATTTACACATATATCATATATAGGTGAACACAGGGCTCACGCTACCAGGCGACTAGGGCGAAGAAGTCGCTTTCCCGTCCGTCACTTCGCTTTGCCCGACCCTCAAAAGCGAAAACAAGTCGCCCTGTTGTTGACGATACTCGCTTTCAGTCGCTTTCGTCATCGGACAATTTCAATTTTTACCAAGTTGATAAAACATCAATTTTTTATTGATTATTAAAGAAATGCATACATAAACGATTCATTTTCTTAAGAAACGAGGTTTAAGCATTGAATTTACTGTGTGTTGTAGGTTATTTAATAAAAAGACAACTTTTTATCACTGCATGCACTTCCGGTACTTGTTACTCAGAGAGCGTACATCAATCTAACTTTCGGCAGCAAAATAAGTTTGTTACTTCATTTGAAAGTGATAAAAGTTGCCTCCAGTAAATGTTTGATCCATTTATTGCATTAAAAACGTCATATTCCTTTCCAAATAGCTTATCAAACATCGTTTATTTTTGTAAATTTTCTTCGTCCGCCATTAACCGCTATCTAACTACGGATCGGAACCGGACCAGCTATGAAGGAAATCCGTATTTTTACAATAATCACTACGGTCGATGCATGAATGGAACAGCTGACTGAAGAATATTGAACCCAAAAGGAAAAATTACGCATTCCACGCGCATTAAGAGACTTTTGGTTAGATCTAATTGATTAATGTATATAATTCCATATAATTTATATGGATTGTTTCAAAATATTGATTAAAGTTGCTTAACCACTAATATCAATATATTATGGCCCAGCTTAACTTTGTATATATCTTTTGATGAGAAACACTGAATTTTATAAACATGATAAACAAGTTTTTAATTGAATTGTAATTCATATTTTATAACTTCTTTACCTTTTTGACATAAAAAAAATTCTTTTTATTGCTAGATATTTAGTTGGTAGTTTCTCACAAGAACCTAAACTTAAACAACTTTGAACTTGAACTGTTAATTTAATTGCATACTCAGATATGAATTGAACAATATAAAAAGAACATTATTAATATATGACCCTGTATACTATAGTAAAATCAAAACATTGTAGCGCAGCGCGCGAAGGAGCACTTCTCTTTCAAATCTCACCACTTCTCCCTATCAGTTTCAAAAAGAGAAGTCACTTCTCCCTACGATTCTGAAGTAGTGTGAGCCCTGTCAGAACAGATGAGTGATTAAACATCCAATTTCACAGTATAAACCTTGAAAAGTTCAATAACAAACCTGTACAGAACTAATCATGGTACTTAGGGCGAACACAGTGGCACAATCTCTAACTGTAGACTCACTGTCAAAAGCTCCTTGGGTATCCATAAGTAATACAACAATCTAAATAAAACTCATGATAATTAGTATTAAAGCATATCAATCATATATTTTCAAGATTTGTTAACTATAAAATATTTCAGTGAATGATTTTTGTTCTTTTGTCTTCATGTAAAATTTGCTTAACAGAACAGTTTTATAACTAATTTTTGAGACTAACTCATTCAAATTTTCAAACATCCATGACTAGCAGATTTACATTTAATCATATCTAAATTATGTATTGTAGATACATCCTTCTCTTTTATTTGTATACTGCTAATCTGTTTCCTTTCGTTATTTGAAATCAGATACCATAAGAGTTTCAAATTATAAGTAACATTTAGCATTCCTAGACACAACATGAATCACCACAAACTGAATTTCAAGAGGGATACAAGGAAAGGGTTGAAAAAAAAATCTTTTTAAATGTCATCCAAAAACTGAGTTGAGTTTAAATAATTAATTTTGTCTACTTTTTATAGTTTATTAAATACTATTGATTCATTTATTTTCGTGGGTACTGATTTTTGTGGATTGAGGAAACATTCAATTTTTGTGGATATTTGTAGTTTTGTTTAAGCCTATAGCAAGTTTGTACTTTTTTAACATTTATATTTGTGGTTAACCTTTACATTCTTTACCCCCAAAATCAACAGAAATTAGTATCCCACAATTAATATAAATACACAGTATGATATGAACAATCATCTCTTGTTGTGGTGCCACCAAAAATCTTAGGGTCAGTTGGTTGAGGAAATGATAAGAATTCATTTGTAAAGAGATAAAGTTGGCACTGAAAAAACTATAATGTATGTCGGTGTTTTTTCAAAATTTTGTTATGTTATGAATATAGTTAAATGTCCCATCTGCATGATTTTATCACATTTTCAGTATAGGAAATCATAATATCCATCAAGCTAAATTTGTACCTCTTCTCCAGAAGACGTTTTACAGACAAAGGGTTCACTCCATAATAATATTCCTGTTGTTTCTCTTTCTGATCCTCCTCTCCAAGAAAATCCTTCTAAAGGTGATTCGTCATCTCCTAGCCAATTTGGATCACCCTGAAAATGTACACAAAGTATAGTATATATAAATGTGAATTTGCAGAATTTTACAAGTAAAAATAATATATACATGTAAGCAGTGACAGAGCTCTCTCTGACTATGGATTTATGTAAGTGAATGCAGGAACTTATTATTATTGGAAATAGAGAATCCAACAATGGGAAGAAAAACAATATCAATGCCACAATTTCTTATTTAGTATTTTAGGTCTTCAGGACAAAATAGAGCAAGGAAATGAAATCAAATTAAGATTAAATTTATTATTTTGCTATGAAATGATAACTTGAGCCAATTGATACAATTTCTCTGTATCTTTAAATTTGGACTCACCAGTTCAGAAAATGAGGATTCAAGACAGATTTTCAGTCATGGCCTCATCTTAATGTGAACCCTTAAAGAAATTAGCCTGCACAGTTATTGCTTAGTGGCAAATAAGAAATAATTATATTTCAGAATTTTTTGTTACCAGTTACGGACAAATTCCAGATTGTCATGCTTTCTCAGCCTTAGTTGGTTTATCGATGTCTTTGAGTATGGACAAAAAGTTGTGACAAGGACTAAATATAAAATGGAAAAAGTAATGTTTAATGTCAATGAAGATTGTATTTATACATATCACTGAGTCAAGATTTGCCTCTAAAATTCATCTTTCAAGTTTGAATGCTTTTTATCAGAGACATTACAAAAAATTTCTTGAACTTTTTAACACACACATTAACTTTTTCAAACTTAGTTATAATGTTTATGGAAAATGTTGTGATTTTCTTTAATTTTACCTTTTGTGCTTTCACGTGAGACAGTTTTATTGTTTAAAACTGAATTTTTTTTCCAATGTTGCCTCTAGTACACTATAGATTTCACTATTTCAGAACTTAATTGGGAATAAATTTCAGTAGTATCTCATTAAGAACAGTTTATGTGGTTGTCAAAATTATTTATAAGCTATATTTCCATAAGATAACAGTAAAACAACCTAAAATCAGGTAAATTTTACCCAATTACGGTATTACTAAAGTCTTTATGCCAATACATTCATTGAAAAAAAATAAAAATAAAAAAAGGTGATAAGGTTAGAGAAATTGGTACATGATTTAGTTTTTTTTTAACTTTAAAAATTTTGGCATTTTAAAATTGATCTTTTTACCTGGATATCACATGATCATTCAAATCTAATATGATATAATATTGCAACGTATTATTCTCGAATGCATGACTAACACATTTTCAATCTGTTCTTTTTTTCAACAAAATAAATTTAAAGTGCATTCTTTACATCATGTACATGGTCTATAGACTTTACAATTTACGTAAATTCAATGTTAAAACAAATATCCCTGGCAATGATTCAGACAATGCATATCATCTTATACCGGAATGTTGATGTGGTATTGGACAACTTATTAAAATGTTAATCTAATTTAAATCGTATTTTCAATGCCAAAAATGTCTAGCCAACTTAGTTAATATTGAAGAATAACTATAAACTGTTAAGTACAGGCTTTTGACTTAGGTTTAGGTCAAATCTAAACTAGAGGCTCCAAGAATGGATATTTTTTTAATCAGCAGCAAATGACATCTTCAATGGGCTTTAATTAAATAATGTTACCACAGGTGACAATATAATTAACTTAATGTTGGTCGTTTATAGGGCTTAAATTTGATTGACATGTTTCCAAAGGTTTCTAAGGAATTGACCTACATGTGACTGATAAAGACACTCTTGAAATGAAGGTTTTATTCAATAAAATGTTGCTTAATAATTTTCATGGTTATATTTATAGCTATATCAAAGAAGATTGTAGGACAAAAATTTTGTTTGAGTGTTTCTACAGATTTTTCAGGATTGCATCAAAATGCAAAAGTTTATCAGTCACTCAAGCATGAAATGTGTATGCGATGGTGACTTAGATGTTGCTGAAAAATATTGCACTATACAAGAGGACAGAAATGGCTAAATATCAATAAAATCCTCAATTAGACAATATAACATATTTGAAAATTTCTAGCATCTTTTTTTTGACAGATTGATTGCTGGCTGCTTAATATATTAGACGCATAGTCAGAACGATAACATGCTAATAACATAAGAAAATCTGCAGAGGACATGTCACCCTACAAGGACTCCTTTCTGACTCTTAGCCAACCATACTTAACCCTAAATCCTAAATGCTGTGTGCTTAGCAGAGAAGCAGCAAATACTAATCTATTGTCTATATATGGTTTAACTTGGCCTGGAATTGAACTCACAACCTCAAACACTCTAAATGATTATGGCAATGCTACTATGACATCACTCAGGTGGTTTTGCAATTTTAGACACATTAGTTTTTACCTATTTTTTGGAATCAAATAAGACATTGGTGTGATATTTTTCTACCATGTCACCTAAAGACATACCTGCCAACTTTTTAAAATCTCCATGGGGATTTTAAGCGCAAGAGGACCTTATGTTCCTCTTATATTGTCATAAGTGCTTTTAATCAACTTTTATATTGTTTGAATGAGTATATATGTGCTTGAATATCATTTTAACTCATTTGAATGCCTGTTTTATTAAAGGTTTTAAGTTTATATAATAAAGAATTTCTAAATGCAGGTCAACACCTCTCATGGGGGATATCTCCCATAAATCGGAATAGTTGGCAGTCTCTGTAAAGATAACCTCAGGAACCCTGAATACTAACCATTCAAGAACTAATTATTGTTAAATAATATTAATCAAGTATGAAGCCTAAAATCATTCAGAATGCTTATCTTAACACACCATGTAGTCAAAACCAGCAATAAATGTAAATTTGTAACAAATAGACAGTTGACAGTAAGGTATTTCAATATCTAATTTATATCACACCATTGAAAGTTTGTAAGGGTTTGCATCTAGTCAGTGACAGAAATTGATACAAGTGCAATACAGAGTACAATATTCACCAACCTTTCCATTACTACTTAAATAAAAAAAGAAAAGGTTGAAAGGAAAGAACTTCAGTATGTGTTAAGCATACTATATAAATCTCAATGAAATCTAGAAAGGAAAATCTTTTTATTAACAAATCTAGTTCCAGTTAGCATTAAATATATTTTTCAGAAATTTTGTAGATTTTCATGATTTTGTGTCTTTTTCATTGGCATTGATTGGAATGGCAAATTTTTCCATCGGTTTTATGAAAAATGGACCTACAAATGTGAACTCAAAATTTAAACAAAGATACTCAAGCATAAAATAAAAGTATCAGTGACTCAAATTTTGATAAAACAGTGTTGAAAATGCTACTATATTATTATTATTGTACTATAAAGTGGACTGTAATGTGGAAATATCTTTTGTATTCATTCATAGATTTCTGTTAAATTGAAAGAAATTGCAAAACTTAACTGAATAGAAGAATGAATCATGGATGGACAAGATTTAATCAGTGTGTTCCACCAAGGGCTTCCAAAACAATCGTATTGTCCGATAAATAAATTATAAATTATATTCTTGACTTGTTGTACCAAGCCTTAACTGGACATATAACGTGGGTTTGCAATTTTAACATAATTCAGAAAATAAAAGAAGAATGTGTCTGTGGATATGAATGCCCCTGCTCAAGCTTTGCAATTTTCTAAGTTAAAAAGGGGCATAACTCTGGAACAGTAAATGACTCACTACCCAAATTTCAACTCTATAAAAATAAGGAGATGAGATATGATTGCCAATGAGACAACTATCCACCAAAATTCAAATAAAGTAGATTTAAGCAATAAAAGGCAACCATACGGCCTTCTGTCTACTTGTTGTGGTTCTTAGCATTATGTAAGAGTTTTATAAAATTTGAACGAGGCAAACTAAAGTTGGAGTGCAAAACGAAAAACAGCCACACATTTCCGGTCATTAAAGTGACATGATGAATAAGTACTATCAAAACAAACCCTACTTTGATACCCTCATTACCATGATTACAATCAAGGTTAATTAGTTGTCTGACGGCTGAAATTTACCTGTTCAGGCGACAGGTAAATTTATTTATCCATACATTGATCAGATCGGTCTATTTTAAGTTATTTCCATAAATTTCAGCGAATTGCATCTATTTAATTAATCAAAAAGAATCAGATTATCAGAAATAAAAGATGAAAAATTAAAAAAGAAGCTCTAAAGAAACTGTGTCGCTCACCTGCATCTTCAACAATGCCAACTTTTTTAGTACAAATCATCATTAAAGGGGAATTTAATTATACATCCAAATTCTTCAAAAATGCTAAAATTATCATTGATATATCTATTTTTTTCCGTTCATTTCGAGTATTTTCTTGAAGAAATAATGTAGAAAAAGCTGCTTAAACTCAATCGTGCTTTGAAAATGTACATGGATTTTATGTATCCGTCCCTGGTCTGTTTTTTAACATTGTCAAATCGACATCAGTTTTTTTTAGGAAAATGTAATTTTTAAAAGCGAAAGTAAAGTTTTTGACAGCATAATTTTGCACTAATAAAGAGTCTTAGGCAGATATTAGTATGCAGATGTTAAAGACTTCGAATTATGCACTGTCAATCTAACAGTTAATGTCAGAACATCGAATTTATATCAAAAGTCAAATTTAATATCATTTTCATGTCAATCATTGTTTAAGTGATGCCCCAACTGATTACCATGATTGCCTTTTGTTACTAAGTCTTAAGGGATTACAATCGGGACAAGACAAAAAATGGATGGCTTGCTCAAATATTTTTTGGAAGCCTTTGTTCCACCATGAGTGCCCTACAGTAAAAAGCAGGAAAGGTCTGACAAATAAAAATAACCTTCACCATTTGTTTAAAAAAATAACAAATAAAAGCAGATTGTACACGTTCAGTCTTTATCTGTAAAATGATAAAAACGGTCCAGACACCACTTGAAATAAAACATAAAAGGATACTTTATTAAGGCTTTGAATTTCTTAGAATCTTACCACTTTTAGTGTTCCCATTTGCTTGTTAAAGGAAATAAAACAATCAAAATTGTATACAGTTATTTTTACCTTTGAAGTATCAATATAATAGACAAATGTTAGACATTCAAAATTTCTGACAAAGGCTGTTCATTCCATCAAGAATGCAATGAATCTGTAATCTTTCCTTTACAGCAAAATCATTAGGTGCACTTCTCTTTATTGTTATTGGGATTGGCCGATTCCTACTAGACAAATGTTTTTATTACAGTTTTTTCCATGCTTTATATATCTTTGTGCTTGTGTTTTGCCTTTTCTGCTTCGTGTCTTTGGTGGTAGGATATTGTTGTTGTTATTTAATATATCTCAGGATATGAACTTGTCGTTTTCAATTGATAAAATCCATAATTTCACTGAGTTTATTCAATCATAAATTCAGCATGTGTCTCAATAATTATCAAAAATTTATGCAGCTGAACAATATTTGAAATGGACATCACAGTGTGCAGACATTACCATTCCCTCATATTTATGCTAGTGTTCAGAGAGAAATATCAGGTACAATGTATGCCACTTATCTGGTTATGAAATATTCACATTTTTTAGTAAATCATAAACATTAGATTAATAATACTGTGGATTCATTTATTTTCGTGGGTACCAATTTTCGTGGATTGATGAAAACTTGTATTTTTGTGGACATTTAATTTCGTGGTTTTGCCCATGTCTGCATACAACCTTATGGAAAATCTGTAATTCGTTGAACATTTAAATTCATGGTTCACATGTACCTACGAAAATTGGTATCCAACGAATAACAATGGATCCACAGTATGTAGTTTTTGAATCAGCTGTAAGGAATGTTGGTGCATGTGTCTAACAGGTCTTGTAAGACCATGACCTATTTTTGTTAGTCAGGAAAATGGTCTAATTAACCATTTTTGGAGTGTAAAAAATTCTTTGGATGTTTTAGATAATAAACGTGCTTTTGATGGTCCTTTTGATTCAGTTGAAAGTTTTGACTTTTCCACTCTTTACACTACACTTCCACCCAATCTTATCAAACAATGATTTTCTATCCCTATTGTTAATTTTTCTGTTTTAGACAGTGATGTTCCTCTGGCACCATCTTACGGTGTTTATATATCCCAACTTGTTCGTTATGCCCGTGTTTGTAGTGATGTTTTGGATTTCAATGAGCCTAATCTTTGTATTACTGGTAAATTATTAAGTCAGGGATTTTGTTACCACAAGTTACTTAAAACCTTTACTAAATTCTTCCATAGATACAAAGAGTTGGTTGCATGTTTGGCTGTAGTGTACCTGTAAAAAACTTATTTCAGAATGAATCGCACATCCTAAATTTTACAGTGACATATTTTACCAAGTCCAGAAATTTATATATGATCCAGGTAAACTTATCAATCCTTTAAATAAACTTATTCTAAAAGGTTACCAATTCAACACTGTAATCATGGTTATTAGATCTTTGAATATTGTTTTTATTGGTATAAATATTGATTTTGTTATCTGTAAATTAAAACCATACTAAATAGTTTTGTTATACATTATATGTCTTTAACCGGTCTACAATCTGTCGATTTTGGCATTGCACAAGGTCATGTTTTTCTCTGACTGTTAATGATGTCTTTACACTAACTCCATTGGTGTTGGATGTGTACTAATTGATATTTTAGTCTTAGATACATGATTTTTTTTATAGTTGTTATTGGCTTTGAACTAGCTGTCAGTAACTGCGAGGACTCTCAGATCTGTACTTAGTATCCTTTTTGTTGTAAGTGATGAGGGATGGATAAATATCCTGCCACTTCCCTTCTGTTTATGTTTGATGTTTTTCTCCTTTGTATTGATCTGATGAGTTAAGCCTTTTTCAACTGATTTTTATAGTTTGTTCTTATGTTGTGCTGTTACACCACTGTCCCAGGTTAGGTGGAGGGTTGAACGCTCACAAAATGCTTAACTCCGCCACATTCTTTATGTGCCTGTCCCAAGTCAAGAGCCTGTAGTTCAGTGGTTGTCGTTAGCATGGTTAGTTCATGTCTGTCATAATTGTTTTGTTATAAATAAGGCCGTTAGTTTTCTCAATTGAATTGTTTCATATTTTTCATATCCGGGCCTTTCATAGCCAACTATACAGTATTGGTTTTCTCATTGTTAAAGGCTGTACGGTTGCCTATAATTGCTTACATCCACTTTATTTGAACTTTGGTGGATAGTTGTCTCACTGGCAATCATACCTCATCTCCGTATTTTTATAGTCTCACAATCATATAACTTTGGACTCTTGTCTGGTTGGAATTGTTTGTCTGACCTTCATAAATTTATTTTTACTCTGGTAACCAATTTAGCCAGTAAGAACCAGACCTTTCTAAATATACAATTTTTTCATCAACTTAACTTCAACAAGGAAATCACCTGCATGGTGCGTGGCTACATTAACATTTGACTTTAAAACTGTTCCAATGAACTTTAGGTGACAATTATTCCATTAAAAAATATATCTTACTTTTGCATTTAGGTATCTAAGGAAGAAATCTAGGAGAAAAGACTTTCCTTTCCTAAATGCCCCAGCCACAGATACTACAGCAACTTTCTTGTCCTGGATATCAGGATTTAATAATACTCTCTCTAAGGCTTCCTCGTTTAGCTTAAAAGTGTGCTCTCCTGCTTCAACAATCTGTATAGGCTGACCTTTTAAATGCTCACCCTGAGCAGACACTGAAGAAAAAAAAGGAATACAACAATGTAGTCCATAACAATTTTTAACATGTACATGTGTAGCAAAAGCTAGAGACTTCAGATCTAGACTGAAAATAATTTACTTGACTTTTTTCTATATCAAAATATTTTGAGGTACTTTTTTACTTACATGTAGTCTGGTTTTTTGTTTGCTATAAATGTAATGGTTATGGATTCAAGCATTGAAAAATGAGGTTTTAAAAGCATGGATTTTTTTTTTACATATTCATGTAGGTTTAGAATATTTAGATCCATATTCAATTTGGGTGGTGCATTACTCTTTTGCAAATAAATATTAACAAGATATCAACATGATCAATGATAAGGTAAAATTGTTCCTATTCATTTTAATTTGCCTGCACCCATTTAAAACATATGACGTTTTTACTTAAATGGAATGCCCCAGTTTAATTTTTGCTTTTAAATATCTAATTTGATTCTTCATCCAACAGCTGTGGCTATAGCTTCATGTACCTAACCTTATATTACTGTAGTAGCAAGCACATTTGGACCCTGCTTTCCAAGTTATGTTACTTTTGTAATTTCCTTATTCCTGTTGGTACATTTAGCTGGACTGTGCAGGATTTTTTTGTTATGTTTTACTTTTATGAAATAAAGTCAAGATAGGCAAATGGGAAGGTTTGTGTGACCTTAAAACTACTTTAACCTCACCACCTGTACCAAGGCTATTTGGACCATGTGTTGCTCGTCTTTTATTGTAGTCTTATTTGGAAGAGTTGTGTATGTAGGTGGTTGGTGTAGTCTATTGTACTTTCCAATATTTTTGGTATCTCCTGTTATCCTTTTTTTTATCATTATTAGGAAATTAATTTTTAATATTAATTTTCCTTTGTTCAAAAGCTTTTATATTATGTCCCTACATGCATCTACTAACATCATGCAAATAAAAATTGAAAAATTACTATTTAGAGAGAAAAAAAAAATAGGGTTTGATTTCTTTAAAAAATTATGTTTGGTCAAATTTTTTTTTTAAATTTTAGTCATAATCAAGAAAATATGGTGGCTATTTGTCACATTGGCAATCATAACCACATCTGCCTATTTTCATTTGTACACACATGAGAAATTATAAAACAGAATACACCCATTTATTATTGTAAAACTATATCTACAAGAATGATAAAAAAAGGACAATTTTTTTTCAATAATTCATTCCCCATAAGTTTAGATAATCAGTCAAAATTTAAAGCTTTCATCTATAAATCATTACAATGATACCTCTTAGCTATAGGCTCCAGATCGATCTACAATAATCAGGAATAAAATGCTTCGTTGAGCGCAGCTGGATACAACCGCAGAGGTCCAACCCTGAACAGTTGGGGCAAAAATGGACACAATATTCGTGCTTGATACAGGTCTGAATTATTATTGTAATTAAATATTTGACACATAATAGGTTTCTGACACCGAATAACTGTAGTCAAAGAAAATTGGTTATATGATTTTGAATTTATATTCAATTTTGCTTTTGTGCAAAACACTATGCTGTTGGGAATTGACCCCCTTTTTTTTTGCTTTTGTGAAATACACTAGGCTGTTGCCTCTCCCCCTTTTTTTTGTAAAAAAAAAAAAATATTTGAAATTTTCTTTTTAAATTCTGAAATCTGAAATGAAAAAAAAATTGCCCCCCCCCCCACTATTTCTTTTTTACCCCCCCCCCCCCCCCCCCCCACCACCCCTTTTTCCAAAAAAATAATTCTTTCCCTCAAGATATAGTCATAATCTCAATTCAAATTTCCAATGGAGTTTGCAACCATAATTACCAATTTAAATACATCATAAAAGTCTTAAAATAGAAAATGACATACATAATCATTGCTAAAATTAATATTCCTTTCATAGTAACTTCTAAGAATAAATTGACAGCTGATCACCTCAAGACAATACAACATTTCTTTATACATAATTTAAAAGCAGTGTAAGGGAGGAAATCCAAACATACACACCATTGTACTTTAAATGTGTTTGGATTACTTCCCTTACACTGCTTTTAAATTGTCCATTAACCAGGAACCCTTTGTTTTTCCCCTAATTCCTAAATGGTGTGAGCCATAACCCCCAAAGTCAATTCTAACCATCCCTTTGTGGTATGGAAACTTGTGGTATAATTTCAGAGAGATTCATACACCGCTCCACAAGTAATTGTCTGGAAACTAGAAAAATGCTTATTTGGGCCCTTTTTTGGCCCCTAATTCCTAAACAGTTAGGACCATAACCCCCTAAATCAATCCCAACCTTCCTTTTGTGGTTATAATCCTTGTGTTTAGATTTCTATTTACTTATACTAAAGTTATTGTCCGGAAACCAAATGTCTTTGGACGACGCTGACGACAACGACGTGATACCAATATACGACTGCAAATTTTTTTGCGGTCGTATAAAAAGTCAAATGGACATCAAAGACAACTCACACACACAAATTTAGACAATAATGTACACACACATAGTTTACTTCAATATTCCCCTTGTCATTATTTCTTAATTTTGCAGGTTGGAATTAAAATGTGTCAGATATTGAAAAGCCTAACAAACTGGAAGGGAATCAGGGTTCAATAACCGTATACATTGTTGTTGGAAAAAGGGAGGATTTGGCATCAAGATAACAAGGAAAAGGGTGACCTGTGGAATTGAAATATGACAAAAGTTCGCAACCACTATTTCTTAGAAATGTGAGTTGGGTACCTTGTGATATATTAGTGTATAAAAGTATTTTTTTAAGAGACAAGTGTCTGTGATGAGCGGCACCATCATGAATGATATCATTGAACAATCAGTTCTTACTGTGATATGTAATAACATTAGCTTTATGACATAGGAAATGTACAGGAAAGTGCATGAATTTGAAAGTTGTTTATATACCAACCTCGTTGTTTTTGTCGAGCCTTCGACTTTTGTGGAAAAAGCGAGAAATAGCGATCCTACATTCCGTCGGCGTCGTCGTCGTCGGCGTCCACAAATATTCACTTTGTGGTTAAAGTTTTTGAAATTTTAATAACTTTCTTAAACTATCCTGGATTTCTACCAAACTTGGACAGAAGCTTGTTTATGATCATAAGATTATATTCAAAAGTAAATTTTGTAAAAAAAAAATTCCATTTTTTCCCTATTTTACTTATAAGTGGACTTAGTTTTTCTGCCAGTTAACATTACATTCACTCTGTGGTTAAAGTTTTTAAAATTTCAATAACTTTCTTACTATCCTAGATTTCTACCAAACTTGGAAAGAAGCTTGTTTATGATCATAAGATAGTATCCAGAAGTAAATTTTGTAAAAAAAAAATTCCATTTTTCCGTATTTTACTTATAAATGGACTTAGTTTTTCTGCCAGGAAACATTACATTCACTCTGTGGTTAAAGTTTTTGAAATTTCAATAACTTTCTTAAACTATCCTGGATTTATACCAAACTTGGAAAGAAGCTTGTTTATGATCATAAGATAGTATCTAGAAGGAAATTTTGATAAAATTTTGTTCCATTTTTTCTGTATTTTACATATAAATGGACTTAGTTTTTCTTCCAGTCAACATTACATACATTCTGCAGTTTAAGTTTTTAAAACATTTATTAGATTCATAATTTATCCTGGATTTTTACCAAACTTGGACAGAAGCTACTTACAATCAAAACATAGTATAGAGGGGAATATTTTTATTAATTTTTTTCTTCATTTTTGTTGAGCCTGCGATTAACACCAAAAGTAGGCGAGACACTGGGTTCCGCGGAACCCTTACGAATTTTTTTATGAATAAATTACACAAGTTGACCTGAGGTCAATCTGGGTAAACAATGACATCGAACAATTGGTTCTTACTTTGACATAATTACAGAAACATTGTGACATAGGAAATAATTTAACCGGAAAGTGCATGATTCTGAAAGTCGTCTATTGGAATCTTAACATATATTAACGACTAAACCAGGCAGATGGTATTCTTGGGGCTAATGGTCAAACATTAAAAGACTCCCATCAAAGGATTACAAAAGTAAGAAATATTGAAACTATACAACAACAAATTTAAAGAGACCTGGTTTAAAATAGGTATCGAAAACTGTAATTTAAGAAACAGAACGAACTGATAATATTCATTCAAAAGTGATAAAAATCAAGATGTTATTATTTAGAATGCTCAATAAGCTATGTGAAAGTGGAAGCAAATGATCAATAAAACAACAGGTCTTTTACCTGGTGCCAAAATATCATGATCCATCTGGCTACTTGTTCAGAAGTTTGTTGGCAGTTCAAAACCGTGAACTTCAAAGGTGAAAGTAGAGAATATGTGAAATTCGGAAGCTTCCGTTTGCTCTCTCAATGTACATTGAATGTAAAACTCAAAGGTATTCCAAAAAGATTTCCGGCTATCTCGCGCACTTTCTGACGTCACGCACTATTTCTAACCCTTATTACCATCCGGCTAATTTAGAATATTCAAACGCGGTTTGATTCTTTAACGTTCGGTTATTGTAATTTTAATTAGATTAAATTAACTGTTATATTTTAATGACTTGAAGCATATTCACGCTAATTCATCGCGATAAATGAAAGACAGTTGTGCTCTTTCTAGATAAAATAGTCCACCTCCTTCCGCAAATAAATATATGCAATTAGGCACCGAGTAAATACGTACAGTTACTTGGAATACTGTGTGTAAAACAATTTTCAACAATGCCTTATTTCATATCTGACAATTAAGATACCCAAAAGGTGAAGTATGTCAGAGCATGAATGTATTAACCTGAAGTTTGTTGCAGTGTTAGCATAGATGCATTGAGTTTACACAAATAGATTTGATTAGAAACCAAGCAACACCATCAAAATGAAACCCACAACATGTGTCAGGGGAAATTATAAATATACAAGTATTGAACACAAAAGGTGTTATATCCCTAAATTTCTGGTCAAGACAATGAACAGAGCATTGCACTACATGCATGATACTACTGAAAGTGATGACAATATACATGTACATGATATGATATATTGAAGTGTTTTCAGATTGAAATATTGAATAAGGGTACACCTGTACACTTTCATTTGAAGTCGAACTGCTTTTTCACATGATTGTCAGACTTCCATAATTATTTTGAACCAACAGTATAATATCATGTTGAAATGAACATACTGTCACATTCCTGTTAACAGTTTTGACATGTTTGCAAACACATCAAAACTGTCTATATGAATGCTATCTTATGACAATATAATCTAATCAGTGCTTGCTTAATGCTGGAATTCATGTAGCAATTCTTTTATCTTAATTAAGATATACACGTTCATGTATTTAGAAATAATTTGGCTCCTATATTTACACACAACTCTTTAACATGTCTATGGTCAACATTATACCTGGGACCAATGGATATTGTATTAACCCCAGATTATAGACATTTTATAAGACAAAAAGAATGCTAATGATGATTTGAACTAAAGTAGGCTGTCCCCAAGGTCAGATTAATGTTTTGTCATTTGTAAATTTGATGATCATGGGTAATCTTTAGACTCAAGTAAATTTGAAATAAAATAAAAAAATCATATGTTGGAAGAAAAAGACTGCACCTGATAGTATAAAAAAAAATGATGAAACAACAATCCACCAATCCCCAAAAAACATAACTTTTAGGATTGAACAACACTTACTAAAATCCAGGGGTGAAATTGGGTGCTATGGAATGGTAAAAAAATCCTTATTCACAAGCTGTACCAGTATTAATACAAAATAAGTCTGAGTTAAGCTTTTGAATCAAACTTTTGATTCATTCAAACAAAGTTGGGAAAACAACATTTTATTAAAAAAACTTGCATTCTGGGTCTGCCTATTCAGAATTGGAGAAAAGAAAGAAATTGTATTTTTTTTATCCTCTGAAAATGACTCTCAAGGTTTATCTATATAAAATGTATGCAATGTTTAAAAGTAATACTACAAAACAACAATATTTTTTAACCATTCTGTGTAAAAATAAGCTAACCTAGGAGTACTGACCAATCCTGGGATTTCCTGCCTGTGTGATACTTTAATTTGCCAACCCTGCTTGTGAGGCCTCATGTGAAAATTTTTTTGTTAAATAACTTTTCTACTGGTCTGGACCATAGGGCTTTTTGTTTCGTTGTAAAGACTTGTCCTAATCCACCTACATGTATTTTTAGTTTTGTATTATGTCTTCTGAAAAGTAAACTTGATGGAATTCTAAAATTAAAAGTTCTAATTACAGTTAAAAATGAGGCCCTACATGGTACATTGTGCCCAATCTAATATTGAAAACAACGAAATGAATTTAGCTATTTCTGTTTTGTAATTTAAAACAAACCCATCTAGACTTATGAAAAACTGAAACTTGAATAATAAGTTGAGAAACAAAGAAAAGTCTGAAATTGAGAGAAGTATTATAGATTCCACTATGACTTGGTTGAGTGTTGATGGAATATCTGACTCACATATATCCATGTGCATGTTTCATTTGTTGTTTCCACAATTATTCCCTCTTTTCCTCTATTTCATTTAATCAAAGGCAATATCACAGGTTTTGGTTTGTTGTGGGAAACATGAAAGCTGCCAATAGCAGAGAGGAACTGGTTATCTTCCTTGAGTACCTGCCATGATGCAGTCAGATTTTAGATTATTTATTGAACATTTTATATTTCTGTCAGTTATAAACATATTTTGTACTTAACAGAAGTCATCATGTTCTGCATTACTTACAAAAAATAGTCATGGCATCATTTGTTTGGCATTTTCAGGGCACAGTGTTGCTAAAATATCCTTGCTAAATATGTTGAGGAGTAATACTAAGTCATGTGCTAACTTTCAGAATTAGTTTGTACCATCATTTTTTGGCAAATTTATAGTTTTTAATTCTACCAGTCTAAAAACCAAAACAGACTTAGATGTGTGTGAGCTAGGGTCTAAACGAGGCTTACTCTGGACAACTTTTCATAACTTTACAATGAACATGTTAGATATGCACAATTTTGTTTATTTTGTCGTTAAAAAATTATTGGGATCATCTTAATTGTCTTGATGGAGTCAAAAAAGAGAGATTAGGTGGCGGAATTAACAATTTGTTAAAGTTTGTGATTAGGTCAGTTTAGTGGGGACCAGTAAAGGTAAATCAATTTTATGTGGTATGCAAATATAAAAGCATTGCAACACAAGGCTTCCTAAAAAGCCAGGGGACTTACTTAAACGAGTGATTAAGAAATCACTGATTCAAGTAACATTTTTCCAGAAATGTTGGAAGTAAGAGTTGTCTTTCTTTAATAATCACCTATTTAAGTAGTACAAATAAATCACTAGACTAAGTGATTTAATTTTATTGTAGCTTTAAATATATAATACTAATGATCCAGGGACTAATCATGTTGCTAAAATTATCAGAACCAACATCTGTGTTTATAGGATGACCGGTCATGTCAGGTGATGACCTTGTACTGAATCTGAGATAATGACATAATCACTTGTTTAAGAATCATACCTCTAGTTTCTTTAAAAAAATCACTTCTTTAAGTATTATTATTTTAATTACCCCCACTAATTTCAACACCCCCGAACAGTGAAATTTTGGTCGCGAACCGTAAAATTTTATTACATAATCTGTAAGATGAAACCTTGAATTTTAAAGAAAAATTACTCCCACTGCTGTGAAAAATCTGATAGGAAAGTATGAGATCATTATGTAAAGCTTCATTATAGCAAATTTTTCAACAAATATAGGATTTACAGATGAATGATTGCATCAAAGGCATAAACCTTGCTACTTAAAAGAAGCAAAAGTTTCATTTTTTTCAATTTTACTAATAATTAGATATAATCTAAACCTGTATGTTTAAAATTTTGGTAAAACTACAAAATCACAGAATTTCTAATTTGCTACTTAAATGAGTGATTAATAAATCACTTATTTCAGTAATTCCCCTGACTGCTAAACAGTCATATATTCCGGACATTTGTATAATGTTCAGTAAAAGTCCGGCTGGGCAAAGCATGAAACGGTCATCTACTTTTTATTTTTCAAGGCTCTCTTGAGAGATGGTCATTTTAACATAATTCGCGATCTTTTTGACCCAACCTTTTGCCTTTAACAGCCACATATTTCCGGTCATAAAAGTGACATGATCATTAAGTGCTATCAAAACAACCCCTTCTTTAATACCTTCTCATTTTAATTAAGGCTAATTAGTTGTCGAACAGCTGAAATTTACCTGTTCAGGTGACAGGTAAACTATTTTGAACCGGAGATTGATTGGTCTTTTCAAAGTGTTTTTCTTACATTTCAGCGGTTTGCATCTTATTAATTTAGTCAAAAAGATTTAAATTATCAGAAATATGTTTACAAATATGATTTGATGAAAAAATTAAAAAGGTGAAAATGAAAAATTGTCATAACCACGTTGTTTGAACCAGAGACATGTCTCTGTTTGAACTAGTACACGTGTGCACATGTGTGCAGGTGAAAAATTTAATTATGCATCCTAATTTCTTCAAAAAATGCTTAAATCATTGTAAATTGTCATTGATATTTTTATTTCACGTTTATTTCGAATATTTTCTTGAAGAAATAAAGTAGAAAGAGCTACTTACACTCGGTCATGCTTTGCAAACGTACCTGGAATTTACGTATCTGTCTCCATGGTCCATGTTTTACCATTGACAAGATAACATCCGGTATTAGATTTAAAAAACGAAAGTAAAGTTTTTGACAACGTTATTTTGCACAAATAAAGAGTCTAAGGCAGATATAAGTACGCTGATGTTGCACACTTCGAATGATGCACTGCCAATTTAACAGTTTACGTCAGAACTTCGAATTTGAATCAAAGAAAGTTTAATATCGTTTTTTTTTTTTTTTTAATGTCAATCATTGGGATGGCCAACTCGGCAACTGATTACCATAATTGCCTTTTGTTTATTTAGTCTTAAGGGATTAAAATCGAGATAATATATAAAATGTCCGGCTGGCTAAAAATAATTTTGGAAGCCCTGTTGCAACACCTCATTTCCACGCAGACTATTTGGCCCCACCCCCTCAGTCATGGCCTATTGACTGAAATTTTTGGTTAGTTAACATGTTAACATTTGTGATTAGTGATTAGGTCAGTTTAAGATGAACCACTGATGCTAAGTCTATGGTATTTGGTATGCAGTTGTATAAATATTGGCACTTTTCATTTCCCTGGAGATTATTTTGCCCCGCACCCTCTGTCATGATCTATTGACTTTTAAATTTTGTATAATTAGCATGTTACTTTTTTTCATATTTGAAATTACAAAGAAACTTTTGATTGGGTCTTATGAAATTTTCACAACAGTAGATTATGATAATGGACTAAAAAGAGAGAAAAGTAAGGCCATAAAAAAGAATCTGGTTGTTTGTCCTAACCCTACCTACCCAGAAAATAGCAGCCTACTCAAAATCTTTTATTGTCCTGGTGTGAAAAAGTTTTTTTTTAATCAGATAGGAATGAAGACTAAAAAAACATCTGACACTTCAATTTCTCTTTGACGAAAAAAAGAAAGAAAATGCCTACCTACCTACCCATTGTCTCTACCGTTGGGTAGGGTTTGGGCAAACTAAAATATTTTTAAGTGTGGCTTAATGTTAAAATTTAGGAGAGTTCCATATAAGGATTCATTCTACCCAATCAGGAAAAGTCTTTTAAAAATAGGATACCTTCTAACATGTCTAATAGAATTGGGGCCTTGGTGGCAATGTGATCCAAGTAGTTCATCTAATGTATCAGTAGCCTGTCAACACTGAGGTTGTGAGTTCCAATTCCGCACGTGGCAGGTGAGTTGGACTCAAATCTTAATTGACTAGGATTGTCAGGTTTTCTGCCAAAGGTTGTGGTTCTATCCAGGACTCCGTCCCTTGACAAATAAAAACTGACTGCCACAATATAGCCAATAGTGCCAAAAGTGGTGTTAAACACAATCAATCAATCTATCTTAAAGTAGTCCTTTGTGTAAATGTGACCGCTCTATTGTAACATGTTAATAACAGTTTTCAGAATGAATTATTGTATTGAAAATTCGAATGGCAAATGATTTTATGGAAACTTCACATTCTTATTTTTAATCTTTTGTAGGTCTTAACAATGTAGCTAAAGAAATTTATAACAGATGGTAGAACATAGCAATGACAGATGAGAAGCAGTCCCCATACACCACAGCCACTGTCACTATGTCCTCCAATTTTCTACAGACCTCTGGTGGCCTTTCAGGCCACAGAAACATATCATCACCATCGTCAAGTTCATATATACCTGACACTGGATACCCTTTTGGTGACCTAGGAATTGGATCACACGGTTCTCCAAAATCAACACATGAAGACATGGATACCAAAGAAGATTCTAAATTGGATTTGTATCCTGATGTTAAAGGGTTAAATCTTGCAATCACCTTGCCGTTTCAGGATTCAGACCACTCGTCTACAAATACACCGTCACAATTTTCGCAAATTTTATCATTCAGACAGTCATCAGTACCAGCAGGTGATGCTATGTTAAGTGCCATAAACTATGAAAATGACATTTTACCAGAAGCTTTAGATGTTAATCTGGCTGGACCGTTACCACAACTTGATGATGGTATTCTGTCAAACATGGGTGCCCCTGGAGATTTGTTTGATGGTGAAGGTAATGTGAATGACCCATATTCAATGGACGATTATTCTCCCCAGACATCACATGACTTTGGTGGCTTTAGTAGTGATGGTTATGGTGGTATTGATTCTGACCACGGTCTTTCAAACCAAGCAGGTAAGGCTTTCAAAATTATTCAATATTCATGATATTGCTGGGATACTACAAGTATTTTGTTGATTTGGTCATAATGATTGAGCATCTTACGATAAATGGATACATTTAGGTTTTTTTAGTTTATTTATTCTGGCTATTAGATATTTATAAGTTGACATTTGTGTTCTAAATGTACATGTACATGACGTATCTATTTCAAGAAAATATTTTGCTTGTGTAAAACTATCACACACAATTCAATTATTGCATCATTCCAGTGGATGATACATGATAAATTCAGCTTCTTGAAACTATATTTTACTTTATACAAGTAGCTGCAATAGAAAATAATGGTCAGCAAAAGTTTCATATCAATTGATTTTCAAATTCTTTGTTTGGTAGATGTTTGTTTTGAGATTTGCATAATCAGTTCAGTAAAAGGAAACAGTTAATTGTACACTGAGGGTTTGGAATGTAAGGAGACATACATTTTGTACATGTAGAGTATATGATACATACATTTGTACATACACAGTACTACAAATATATAATGTATGGGTGATAATGAAGATACTAAGACAATACTGAAATGACACATTAGATGTTACAGTGAAATACAAGTATAAATTACAGTGAAATACAAGTATAAATTTGATACTCAACTATTCAATAGCTACATGTACATGGCTTCTTAAAAAATATTTTCATTATAGATCCCGGTCAAGGTTTAGAAGGATTAAAACAACAGAAGAAACCTAAATCACATAAACCTGCCAAAGGACAAACTTCACCAGCAAGACTGGGAAGTTTACAGTGTCCTACTTGCAGCAAAACTTTTACAAATTCTAGTGCCTTGGCCAAACACCGATTAACACATAGCGATGAAAGGAAATATGTTTGTAATCTGTGCCAGAAAGCCTTTAAAAGACAGGATCATTTGTAAGTTACAAAATGACATTTTATTTTAGCAAGGACTTACATATGTATAATAAGAAACAATTCTAAATACTAAGTAGATATACATGTAAGATAGATGCAAGCCAGTTATTCATTGGATTCAGTTGCCTTTAGGCAAAGAAATATATATGCAAGTTCCTACCTCATTCCAAATGCTTAGGGTCGGTAGCTCAGAAATTTTATTTTTTCTTATTGACAAAATCCAATAAAAATCATATGTTCTCTGTAAGTAAATCAGAGAAACCTGTATTGAGGACTTGCTGCATTGGGGAGTCTGAGAGCATTTCATGAAGAAAACTTAGAAGTTGCCTACCCAAACTTTTGTAGTTTCTGTCTAAAAACGGTAAAAGTTTATTGTCAAGCAGTAAAACCGTACACCATTCACTTCCTTTTTAGGGTCAAGTGACCTTTTTTCATCACTTGGCATCCAACGTTTACAAAAATATTCTCTGAAGAAACTACTGGATTAGATTTAACCAAACTTTGCCACAATCATGTTAAGGATAATTAATTAAAAATTTTGTCCAATAACCCCCGCCTGCCAATCAACATTGCCGACATGGCTAAAAGGTAAAATGCAAGTTTTGTCTATTACATGTATCTTGAAAACTGCTATAGATAGAGAAAACTTGACGGGGACACAAATGTTTCAAAATGTTGAGATTTACCTACATTGTACTGTCCATTTCAGTCAGTTCTGTCAGAAGTTGTCTTTAAGGACTTATTATTTTAATTTGACGAATTTTACCATCTTTTTAGCCCAAAGGGCCCCATTTGAGCTTATGCCATCACTTGGCGTCCATCATCTGTCGTCTATGTACCGGTAAACTATTTCGAGAATCTTCTTCTCTGAAACTACTGGGCCAAATACCTTCAAACTTTAATTGAATGTTCCTTAGGGTATTTAGTTTATAAATCATATCCGAAGTTTTGATCCATCAACAAACATAGACGCTGTGGCTAAAAATAGAACTTAGGGGTCAAATGCAGTTTTTGGCTTATATCTCAAAAACTAAAGCATTTAGAGCAAATATGACATGGGGTAGAAATTTTCAATAGGTCAAGATCTATCAGACGAACTGAACAACCCATTGTTGGGTTGCTGCCACTAAATTTTAAGGAAATTTTGCAGTTTTTATACGACCGCAAAATTTTTTTTTTTGTTCATATAATGCTATGATGATGTCGCCGTCCGAAGACCCATTTGGTTTTCGGACAATAACTTTAGTTATAGTGTATGGATCTCTATGAAATTTTACAAGAAGGTTCAATACCACAACAGGAAGGTTGGGATTGATTTTGGGGATTATGGTACGAACAGTTCAGGAATTATGGACCCAACAGGGGCCAAAAACAAGCTTTTTTGTAGTTTCCAGACAATAACTTGTGTGTAAGTGTATGGATCTCTCTGAAATTGTACCGGGAAGGCTAGGATTGAGTATGGGGGTAATTGCCCCAACATGCAGGAATTAGGGGCAAAAAACAAACATTTTTCTAGTTTCCAGACAATAACTTGTGTTTAAGTGGATGGATATCTCTAAAATTGTACTACAAGGTTCCATACCACAAAGGGAAGGCGGGGATTGAGTTTGGGGGTAATAACTCCAAGGGGGGGGGTTCCATTTTTTTGGGGGTTCATATTTTTTTTCTTCAAAATTTTTGAAATTTCAAATTTTTTGAAAAGTTTCAAGAACAAATCTTCAATTGCACATATACAGTATTGCACAATAGATTTTTAAGATCTTTGACCACATTTATTTTGTGTCTGAACCTATATTATGTCAAGAATTTGATCACAATCCAAATTTAGACAGTATCAAGCTTGAATATTGTGTCCAAACTTGCCCCAACTGTACAGGGTTCAACCTCTGTCGTCATATCAGGCTGCTCTCAGCGAAGCATTTTATTGGTTATTATTTTGAATATTATTGAAGATAAATACTAAAAAACTGTAAACAGCAAAAATGTTAAGCAAAGTAAGATCTACAAAAAAGTTAATGTGACCAAAATTGCCAATTGACCCCTTAAGGAGTGATTGCCCTTTAAAGATGATTTTACACAATTTGTTCATCATGTTTGCTAATATTTAAAAATCTTCTCCTCTGAAACTACTGGGCCAAATACTTCCAAACGTTAACTGAATGTTTCTTAGGGTATCTAGTTTATGAATTGTATCCATCAACAAACATGGCCGCCATGGCTAAAAATAGAACATAGGGGTCAAATGCAGTTTTTATATTACCGCAAAAAATTTTGTGGTCGTAAATTGGTATCACGTCGTCAGCGTCGTCCGAAGACATTTGGTTTCCGGACAATAACTTTAGTATAAGTAAATAGAAATCTATGAAATTTAAACACAAGGTTTATAACCACAAAAGGAAGGTTGGGATTGATTTTGGGGGTTATGGTCCTAACAGTTTAGGAATTAGGGGCCAAAAAAGGGCCCAAATAAGCATTTTTCTAGTTTCCAGACAATAACTTGTGGAACGGTGTATGAATCTCTCTGAAATTATACCACAAGTTTCCATACCACAAAGGGATGGTTAGGATTGACTTTGGGGGGTTATGGCTCAAACCGTTTAGGAATTACCGTCTTTTGGTATGCATAGTGCGCATTTGTGTATTGTGCGCACCGCACCCCCTTTATGGTCCAAGAAACTTGAGAAAAAAAGTTTCTTCTTCGTATAATACACATAGACATTTTCAGAAAAGTCACAGCTCCAAAATCGGTAAAATGTTGCTTGAGCGTGATTTTTTTTCTGCAAGGAATTAATGAGAAGTCATGATTAATATCATGGAAAGAATTTATTGTAGCTGAAGAAAGAATTTTAATAGTTATCTTCTTTTTATAACCCACAAGTTAATGTTTGTCGTTTGTTGGCAAACAGGAAGTCTAAACTGGAAGTTTTTTAAATGGTCACCGATGACGGTGAATTCCATACGGAATATGTAATTAATACGGAATTGTATTATCTTGTATTATTTAATTTCATGTTATGAATTAGTGCTGAAATAAATTGTTAAAATCTCATAATTTTTATTTGTTGTTTGTTGGTTTATCTTTTCAAAACGAGCGTGGTTTATTCAATTTTCATACACTTATCTTCTACTCTCCATGATGAACACATACAAAACAGTAAGTTATGACCACAAGAAACACAGAGCCTAAATTAACCGACAACAAAAGCTTCATGGTGTCTTTAATAAGACATGGCAAACTTCCGGATTGCAAACAGATGGACACATTTACACGATAAACGAACGTAACTACAGAGATATAAAATATATTTTATTTGAATAAAAATGACATATCAAGTACAATAAGATACATATTACAAATATAACATGTAAAACATAATAAAAGTCGAGGAATTAGCGAAAAATTCCGTACTCTTTACTTCACCTGTTTTTTTTCTTTGTCGGGAGTTCAGACCTGAAAAAAGGCTAAGAAAATGTTTGTAGGCATGTATAATAAGCACACCTCTTACAAGAAACATGACCCAGGGTATAAATGTGCGCACTATACATACCAAAAGACGGTAGTGGCAAAAAAGGGGGAAAACAAAGGTTTCCTGGTTAATGGACAATTTAAAAGCAGTGTAAGGGAGGTAATCCAAACACATTTAAAGTACAATGTTGTTTATGTTTTGATTACCTCCCTTACACTGCTTTTAATTTATGTATAAAGAATTCTTGTATTGTCTTGATGTGATTAGCTGATCATGCTGATTAACCATGCATTTGGAGTTTGGATATTGGACCATGATAGGTAAAAGTCCAATTTCAAATTTTTAAGTTCTTGACCACATTCTTTCTGTGTCAGAAACCTATTCTGTGTCAAATATTTAATCACAATCCAAATTCATGTAGTGTCCATATTTGCCCAACTGTTCAGGGTTAGACCCAGGGCTCACACTACTTCAAAATCATTGGGAGAAGTGACTTCTCTTTTTGAAACTGGTAGGGAGAAGTGGTCAGATTTGAAAGAGAAGTGCTCGTTCGCTCCTCAATGTTTGGTTTTTACTATAATATAAAGGGCCATATGTAACCTATTTCTATTTTTATACGCCTGTTTACGGGACGTATTATGGTATACCTCTGTCCGTCAGGCGTCAACATGTCGGACATAACTCAAAACACTTTTACCAATTTGCATAAAACTTTGGTGAATTGTTTATATCTATTGACGTGAGCTCCCTTTTGTTTTTTATAAATTTTAGATTTTACGTTTCCGAGTTATGGGGTTTTATTCATTAAAAAAAGGGGGATTTTCCAGTTTTCGGAAAATAACTCAAGAATGCTTTCACCAACTTGCAAGAAATTTTGTTTAATTGTTTATATCTATTGACATGAGCTCCCTTGAGATTTTTATAAATTTTAGATTTTACGTTTCCAAATTACGGGGTTTTATTCATAAAAAAAGGGTGATTTTCCAGTTTTCGGACAATAACTCAAAAATGCTTTCAGCAGTTCTCATGAAACTTTGATGAATTGTTGATATCTATTGATGTAAGCTCCCTTTAGAATTTTATAAATTTTAGATTTTACATTTCCGAGTTATGGGGTTTTATTCATTAAAAAAGGGGGATTTTCCAGTTTTCAGACAATAACTCAAAAATGCTTTCAGCAATTCTTATGAAACTTTGGTGAATTGTTTATATCTATTGATGAAAGCTCCCTTCAGAGTTTTATAAATTTTATTTGTTTATAGTCTGACACCAGATTTACTAAGTATTGTGCAACAGCATAGTGTATTAAATTGCAAAACAGCAAGAAATCTTTAATTGAATATGAATTCAATTCATATAACCAATTTTTCAAGTTCTTTGACTACATTTATTCAGAAACCTATAATATGTCAAATATTTAATTACAATCCAAATTTAGACCTGTATCAAGCTTGAATATTGTGTCCATTTTTGCCCAAACTGTTCAGGGTTGGACCTCTGTGGGCGTATCCAGCTGCGCTCAGTGAAACAGTT